ATTATAGATCATTCCGGATAATGGACGTCCGGATTATGGACTTTGCACTGTATAATTTTGCATGTTTAACTACTTGATCATCTCGATGTTACGCAGGTCAGTCAGAAAGTTTGTTGCACTACTGCATAAATATGTTCCATCCAAAACTATTTGGATGACACTGTGTGGCAACACTTCAGACATGTACCTTTATTATGTGAAGTAGTGGTTTTCCCGTGGCAAGTTTAGTTTTTCTGATAATCAGTCGCAAACATGTCTCAACAGCTGCAAATAGCGTCCAAATTGAAATGCGTGCAGTGATTTGTTTTTTTTTGTGGGGAAAAAGGGGCAACTGCACTGAAATTTATGGGCAGTTGCATGAAGTGTATGGTGAAAATGCAATCCTGTCAAGCTATCGTGAAATGTTGCAACATGTTTGAGAATGGACGTACAGATATTTACGATGCTGAGCGCGAGGGAAGACCATCAATTGCAACAAATTCGGAAATCGCTGCTCCCGTGAATGAATGCATCCTTGCAAACAGACGCATAACGATAGACGAAATCTCAAATGAACTGGATATTTCTCATGGAAGTGTGCATAAAATTATTGCCGATCACCGTAAATTTCATAAAGTTTGTGCTCGATGGGTGCCACGTCTATTGACGGAGGAATATAAAGGAAGGTGTTTTGAAAGTGCATTTGCATTTTCTGCAACATTACCAAATGGAAGAATAGGAGTTTTGGGACAAAATTGTGACTGGAGATGAAACTTGGATTAACTACTTCTCACCTGAAACGAAACGTAGCTCGCTCGAGTGGAAACATTGCACTTCCCCAACACGAACAAAGTCTCAAACTGTTCCGCCTGATGGAAAGGTGATGATGACGCTGTTTTTCGACAGAGAAGGCGTGGTGGATGCAGAGTTCATGCTGAAGGGAGCCTCAAATAATGCATCTTCTTATTGTGAAACACTAAAACGACTGCAACAATCACTTAAAATTTGGTGGCCAGGCAAACTGTTGAACAGCATTGTGCTCCTGCATGACAAGGCAAGACCACATGCAACAAACAAACGTCGGACCTTCTGAAAACGTTTAGGTGGGAAGTGTGGAATCACCCTCCATATAGCCCAGACCTTTCACCTCCTGACTCACATGTGTTTGGCTCCATGAAACAAGAACTTTCAAAGTGACGGTACCATTCGGATGCCGAAGTGAAAGCTGCAACCCAACAATGGTTATCGGACATTGGATGGGATTGAGAAACTTGTACCATGCCTCGGCAGATGCTTAAATAACGGAGGTAATTACATTGAAAAGTAGATTTTGAATGGAACTTTTAAGATATAAACAAAGTTATTGTAAAATTTTGCTCCTGTTTTGTTTTCTTAGGCTGTGCAACTTTCTTTTTGACTGACCCTCGTACAATACACTATATATATATATATATATATAATCTTAAATTAACTTAGTGCGAAATCGAGTTATTCTACTACTTGCACAATAGCTGCAAAGTAAATTAATAATAATTTATTTACTAAAGAAATATTGATTATATTATCTCCTAAGATTAATTTTAGTAGAATTATCTAAAAAGAGTGAATTCATAGTTAGTAAGTTTAATTCCGAAAATGGTTTTAAAGTAACTTGAATATAATATTTTTTAAATGTTTAACGGGGACTTGAATTAAATCATGAATAACAAAATTTCAATTGTAAAAAGAAATCAAATTAAAAGCAAGTAATCATTGCCATTGATCGGAAATTAGTTGACTTTTCAAGGGAAACAAACCAACTCCCGTTCAATGAACAATAATTAAGAAATAAATACGAAGGTGTTTCGTCCTTTACTCAAGTAATAAGGCAATGCTAAACTGGCAATCTAAGTTAGGCCAAATATTTTCATGAATTGAAGGGATCAAGAACCAATGCAAAGCACTAAAGAGCTCATTCTCATTTTCGCTAATTCAATTTTGAGTGAAAAGCAATTTTGCAGTAAAATTGATAAAATACTTGAGTAATTGACCCCCGACACCCTCGTGTTTATGTATTTTAATTCAAAATTTTTTGTAAAAAATTAAACATTGGAAATTGGCACTATGGAATAGAACTCAAAGTAATTGAAATAAACATTAGAAAATTACGAAATATAATGCAATCTTTGCAAAAACAAATCGAAAAATAAAAATTTAAATTTAAAATATATATAATAAGAAAAGGGAATGTACATGAAGATATAAAAGACCAGAAAACGCATTAATTAACTTACGTTCTTTCTAGTGGGAAGTGGGCAATATGTTCTCTTCGTGTCTTACTCAGAAGGGTTGTGTTTCCGAAATTCTTTATCGGCAGCAGGGGCTTTCAATTATTTCAGTCGGCGAAACTTGTGTGAAGTAATTTATGGGAGAGGGAGTGACTAGGAATGTTTGAGGGACGTATGTTGTGGCGTTCTTATTTGAGTGAAACTGTCTGCTAAATTTTTTTTAATTTCTGGCTAATTGTCCTCTTGTAATGAGGAAGAAATTAAAAAAAGGAATTTTTCACTGTCAAAGTGCTATTTGACAGGCTAAAGATTATGAAATAGGCCCATTTTTTTAATAACAGCATAAGTCTGAAGACAGCTTTTCACATTATATACAGCTTGTAATTACACTATGTACAAATCCTTCAACTGATAGTCATCCAACTTATACCACCTTCTCAGGTTTAGGAACAAATTATCATATCCCTATCAGTTAAATGATTTAGAGTGAGTATTTAACACCTGCTTCTTTTAAGGCAATGGTTAATAAATTGATTAGGTATTAGATTATTATTATTATTATTTTTTTTTTTTTTTGAGAATTTTAATAAGGAGCAAAGTTTCGCATTGTAGATCTATCGTATCTGTGCAAATATTTTTAATTCGTTGTATTTGATTTATTATTGTATTATTAATTACTTTTTTGGATGTGTTGGAATTCCAATTTATTAATTTGTTAGTATTGAAACTGAAGTTTCTTGTTTTGTCAAAAAGTAAAATTTATATATATATATATACACACACACACATATATATACAGTATATATATATACACACACACACACACATATATATATACAGTATATATACACACACATATATATATATATACAGTATATATATACACACAATAAACCTTTACTGACAGGAGTGGTTACATCATTAACTTATTGCACATACAACAAAATTGTGTTTCTTTAAGTTAACTTTCTGTGGAAATAAAACAAGTTAGGTATAGTTCAGATTAAGAAAGTATGCATAATTTATGCAAATCTAAATATTATTGTAATTAAAAGGGGAAAATGAAACAAATTTTAATTGAAAGGATTTCTATTACTGCTTGATAAGTAGGTACATAATACAAATATTTTTTTAAATAGCTAGTGATTTTTGCTTAGGACAGTGCCTGATGCAACTCATTAAATGTATCACAGTAAGGAATGCAAAGTTTCTTGATACCTATCATAAAGTGCCCTCTTCTTTCTTCATATGAATCAACCTTCATTGCAAAATCAGGCACTTCCTTTTTTAATGATAATTTAACTTCTTTTATGTTGAAAGCTGTTGATCATATTCACAATCATTGGTTTTACTATCAGCTGGTGTTATAAGATCATCCAGTTCTTCATTTGTCATTTCATGATCATCATTCTTGACAAATTTTTTTATTTCTCCTTCTTCCATACCTGAAAATCCTTTGCTGTCTGTTGCTTTTGCAGTTTGTAAGATTTCCTTGTTTTCGTTTTCAATTGATGAAAATCTTTTAACATTTGTCGATAACTTCTTGCTTTTAGAGCTGATATCAGCAAGCATTTATTGTTGATGAAGTCTCTTGTTTCCATGGGAGTTTAATTATTTCTGCGCAGTGTCTTATGATGTTGAATTGCTCCCAAAATGCTATTAGTATGCTGTGTCCTTTGTTTAGTGCTTTATTTTCAGAGATGTAAACATGCCTAACATGACTTTAAATTTTTTTATGATTTTTTGATCCATTGGCTGCATTAAAGAAGTTTGTGCGATAAAAGAAATAAAAACTCTACATTTAAATGCAGTGTTGTGAGGGCTTCAGTACCATGCTCTGGAGCATTATTCTGAATTAGGAGAACTTTAAAGCTCAAATTTTACTTTTCTAAGTAATATGTGACTTATTTAATGAGTGAATTTCTAAACCAGTCATTAAAGAGGACTATTCCAACACAGTCTACGCTCTGTGATGTACCATGTGTAATTGAAATTCTCTCATAGGACAGATAAAATGGGGACAGTTAAGAATACAAAATCATGTTTCGGAAGTCTGCGTTCAGCCAGGGTTTACTATATATGCATATATGTGTGAGCAGATAAATGCTTCAGTCAATCATAATATTAGAATTTGCAAGCTGAAACATAAATTAATCAATTAGAATGATACCAAACTGATTTATTCTGAACTAGGCTTTCATTGAAGCTGCTGCTCTTTTGTTCTTCAAATATCTTACAACAATGTTAAAAATATGAATGCAATTATTCAAGAACTTGTGTACTTTATTTGTGCTTGTTTAGCATGTTTAATTCAAGTGTAGTGCCTGGTTCTCATAATTGTTAAACAGAAAAGTAAATAGAGCCCTCTATATGAATGAGATAGAGTCTGGCTTTCGAAGAGAGAGGTCAGAGCTTGAGTCTGGTGAGCTTGCATTTCTATTCTAATTAATATAGATTTTGTAAAAAATATAAATGCACTCATTGTGTTGTGAATAAAATCAAAAAGATTACTTTGGATGTCATTAATTATGAACAAGCTACATTCACGAATGGATCCTGAATTAAGAAATTCTTTTAATAACAGTAAAAGAAAGTATGCAGTCAGCCATTGCTGCTACATCTTTATAATATCATCAAAATCTAAATTTTATGTGCACATATACACATATTATTATCATTATTATTATATCAAAATGCATATTGTGAATAAATGTGTTTGGGAAAATTAAACATTTTGTTGATTGTGTTTCTTAGATTGCTGCTATGCAAGAGGCTCTTAGAAAAGTAAAAGAAGAAGAGGAAAGGTTAAGACTAGAAGAAGAAGCAAGAATAAGAGCAGCTGAAGAAGCAGAAAGATTACGTCAAGAAAAGGCATGTTAAATACAGTTATCAGGAATTTTTAAACTAATATATTTTGCTGTTTATAGTTTGCTTATTGACAGGTTTTTATTTCAGTTGCGGTTAGAACAAGAGAAAAAGGAAAAAAAGAAGAAAAAAGAAAAAGAAAGACGTGAGAGACTTAAAGCAGAAGGAAAATTATTAACTAAAACCCAGAAACAAAATCGAGCTCGTATGGAAGCCACTCTTGCAGTTCTGCGACAACAAGGTAACAAATGCATAAATTATTAAAGTTTGGAAAACTAATTTATTGTTTTCTTGCTTCCCAAAAAATTTTGTATTTTATTCTAAAGAAAATAATGTGCTTGTTGGTTATCTGATACCTGCCAGTGCTTTACAAAAAATCTGTTAGTTCCTTTTAGCAATGAAATCAAGTTTTTTTTTTATTACCAGTGGATATAGCAGCAGCATTCAAAATGGCATCAAATAGGCTTTTGTTACTCTCAACAGTCTGTTTCTGCCTCCATGTGAACTCTGATAAGTAAGCAGACAAGTGATGATGAACTAATTGTTACTTACCCTTTTATTCTTCTACTTTTCCACATATATTGTATTATTTGCATGTAGATGCCAGTCTATGAATCAAAATTGATGCTTAAGGGAAGGAAGCCATCTTCCTCCTTTCTCATTCCCTCACATCTGAGGAAAAAAAAAAAAAAAAAAAAAAAAAGGAAGGAAGGAAGGAAAGAGATAACATTAACAAGAAAAGCAAAAAGCAAAATATATAAAAAAATAAAAATTGTCTGTGTAAAAGAACCAAAAACAGTTTTCTAGGATAACTGAACACTCATGGGACTCAGAGTCACAAGGAGTGTTTTTGCTGATTTATCAGCAGATACTGAATAACCAATATATACCATAATAGGTTTTCAATGGAATCTTTCACATATTGCTATACATGATCTAAACTTATGCAAAGTCCTTGAAAAAGTAGCTGCGGACTTCATTTTCTCAAATAGTGATTCTAGAAGAGTGCTTCTCTTTTCAGACCTTCGCAAAATAAGGTAGATTGAATATGATTGGATAGGTAGGCTGTTAGGATGTATGGCATCCCATAATTTAAACAGAGCATAATATGCTTGCTTTAGTTTCAGCATATTTTTTGTTGAAAAGAAATTTTTTTAAATGGCTCATAACTGGAGATGAGAAGTGGATACTATACAATAATATTACAAGAAAAAGATGTGAAGTAAGCTGAAAGAACCACTTTTTAGCAATATGAAAGAGAGCTACATCTAAAAGAAGTAGTGCGTTTTGTATGGAGGGACTACAAAGGAATTGTACACTAAGAATTCTTTCCACCAAATCAAACAATATATTCGAAAAAATACTCTTCCCAGATTGCAGTTTTAAAAGCAGAAATTGAAAAATAGAACTAACATTTGTTGAGGTTTTTGTCTTCTATCATGAGAATGCTCAGCTCCACATTTTGACGAATATCAGGCAAAAACTTATTGAATATAATTGAGATGTTTTGTGTCACTACCCACATTGACCAAATTTTACTGTCTCAAGATTTCATCTCTTTAGCATCATTTTTGGCGATCTATTCATCACTTCTTTAGAGACTGCAAATTGCAGCTTAATAATTCCATTATGAATAAACCTAAGAACTTTTTTAAAAAAAGAATTTCCCAGCTGTTGGAGATAAGGCAAAATGTCATAGAGAAAAGGATACTTTTATAATTCAATGAAATTTGTTTGCAATTTTGAACTACTCCAATTTTATTTATCATATAAAAAAACATGGAATAATGTATTCAGTAAATAATAACTAAATTTTTTTTCTGTTAGAAACTGAAAAATAATTTTTTGCTTTTGAAAATAAAATCATATTTCTTTCTGTAGGTGTTGAAATTCCTGAAGTTGGAGAGAAAAAAGAAAAGCTTCCAAGACTTGGGGATCGTAAAAAGTTTCAAAAAAAAGAGAAGAAAGTTCAAGATGGTGTGTAAAGAATTTACATCCTTTATCTTCGTAAATATATATAATCATATAAATTTAAATTATTTCTTTACCTGTAATTATATTTAATCTTTTTAACTGAATTTGAATGCATTTAGAAACTTCAACAGAAATGCCTAAAATTGAAGAACTGCCCTCACCAGAAGTACATGAATCATCTCCCGAAATTGAAGAGCCTGCAGAAGAAAAAGCAGAATCTCCTATTGATGAAGATGAAAATATTAAAGATGCTTGGTATGAAACATCTGATGAGGAGAGCAGTGAAGAACAGGGTCTTGCAGATAAAAAATCTGAACAGCAAGTTGCAGACTTAACATCTAAAAACTTTAAAAAACATAGCGAAAGTGAGGGTAGTTCCTCTGAATCTGAAAATGCATCATCAGATGAGTCTGACTCTGAAGACGAAAGTGATAGCAGTAGCAGTTCTGAAATTTCACAGACTGAAAAAATAAGGATGCGAATTGAAGTAAGTTTTATAATATAATTAAAAGTATAAATTTATATCTTTTTTGCCATATTTCTTTTGCTTTATATTTAGCTTGAGTTGTTTATGTGCTTTTGTAAAGTTAATATCAATTATTGACAATATGTATATAGTACAAAGTCTGAAATACGGATGTCCGGCTGAACCTCCTGCACCAGGAATTTTTTTGTGAAGAGGCAGAGAGAATTAGATTTCTAGAGTAGCATATGCTTCTTACATGAACGTGACTTTTTCCTAATAAAGCAAGGGAGTGTCCTGATTCTTAATTTCACTGCAGCACTAAATAAAAAAATTTCAAAAAAAAAAAAAAAAAAAAACCCTCCATATTCAAGAAATAGTCATTTATTTTGCATAAATTTGTATGATCAATAATTGAGCTCTATGGCTGACTTATTGCTCGACATTCATCTCAAGCCAAAACATTCTACACTGGTTATCATAAATTAAACGAAAATCATAAAAATAGTGATAACTCCCTCAAAAATAAGCCAAACCGTGTAAAATTTGAATATGTTGCCAAGTAAGAGGAGCCGAGTAAAACTGCAATATGCAAATTAGTGGTTTTTTTTTTTTTTTTTTTTTTTTTTTTTTTTTTTTTTTTTTTTTTGTTTTTTTTTTTTTTTTTTTTTTTTTTTTTTTTTTGTTTTTTTTTTTTTTTTTTTTTTTTTTTTTTTTTTTTTTTTTTTTTTTTTTTTTTAGAATGCGTCATCTGTGAGGAGAATAAAAGTCCATGTTTGAGAGCAAGCCCACATATTTCACTGTGATAGTCACATCAGAAATCTGAGATAGCCAATGACCTCCAGGCATCATTTACCTGCATAACTACGATGGAGAGCCATTGGGAGACTAGAGGCAGGATAAAGTCGAACAGAAGGGGCCAGATGGCTAAATGTGACTCCTCCTGAGGTTCATAGACTTTGCAGGCAATTTCAAACCACAGATTCGGCCTCTAGGAGGTTCAGCCAAGGATGGCCATTTGCTATGACGAGCGCCGATGACCGATATGTGACATTATGTGCACGCAGGAATAGAACCGCTACTCCGACTCTTCTTAGATCCTCCCTTGCTACAGCCACCGGAAGGTTGGTGTTAACGTCAACTATGCGTAGAAGGCTTCACGAGACGACCAGCCATTTGTGTGTCGCTCACGTCACGCCATAGGAGGGACCGTTTCCAGTAGGCATGACAATATATCCACTGGACGTTTGATCAGTGGAGGGCTGTTCTCTTTATGGATGAGTCCAGGTTTAGTCTAGAAAGCGATAGTATGTGTTATTTGATATGGAGAGAACCTGGAACCCGTTATCCTCCGTCAAACATCTGTTAAAGAGGCAGTGTCTGTGTTTGGGGTGACATCTCTTTGGGTGGACGCACAGACCTCCATGTCTATCCAACGGAAACCGTGAATACTCCGGCTTATAGAGATGACATCCTTGATGCTTATGTGCGTCCATGTGCTGGGGCAATAGGTGATGCTTTCCTGTTACAGGATGATAACTCAAGACGACACAGGGCTTGCATCGTAGATAATTATCTTCAACAGAAAACAATTATGCGCATGGAGTGGCCAGCTCGATCCCCGGACTTGAATTCTATCGAGCACGTTTGAGAATGATTTAGAGAGACGTCTAGCTGCTCTCAGTCTGCCCCCTCAGACCCTTGCCTCGCTTGCAACAGCTTTGCAAGACAATGGCTCTCACTTCCTATGGAACTGATAGACCGCATAATTGAAAGCATCATGCATCACTGTATATGCTGTATTGCTTCTAGAGGTGACCATATTCCCCATTGAAGGTACTTTTTCTATGGCATACTGACACCTTCAATTTGTTCATTTTATACATGTTCTAATTTCTATATTACCATATTTGTCATGTAATTTCTTTTTATGTTATTTGATAGCTTACTATTTGTTGTAGTATATTGTGGGTAAGTTTCATAAAATTCTACATGTAACTTTTTCAGTAATCGTGATTTTTCCTTAATTTATGATAACCAGTGTATTAAGGTTTATCAATGATTTTTATGCATGCTGAATATCATATAACTCTTATGCCAACTTAGTGAATCATTTTGTATTATATTTTGCTTTTTCATACCCCCCCCCCCCCCCCCCCCCCCCCCCCCCACCCCCCCCCCCCCCCCCCCCCCCCCCCCCCCCCCCCCCCCCCCCCCATCCCCACATCCCCACATGACTACTCAGAGTAGCTTGAAAAATGAATCACACAGCAAGTCTAAAACAATTACTGTTTTCAATATCAGTCATTGAATATCATGTAACATGGTAACCTTTTATGCAACATTACACTTATTGACGATTATCAGCCAACTGTTTTGCAAAGTGCTAAGTGTGTTGAAGAGGAAAAATTTAACAATTTCTTAAAATAGATTTTATAAATGGTGTTCATAGACCGAAATTCATAATCCATTTCGTGCTATTTGACTTTAAAATAACTGATTTGTTGTTCTGATAAATTCTGATTTATTGTTAAGGGTATTTTTTGGTTATGCACTCTGCCTTTTGGTGCATGGCAGTTGATAATCTGTTGGCCATCACCTGTTATGTCATGTGTGTTTGCTATCTATAAACTACGCTTATTGACTCGAAATTGTTTACAATTCCTGCCAGAAAGGGCCACCTTAAGTACATGTTTGAATTTATTTCATTGGGACTCAGATGAGCCATAAGCATATACCAGAAATAGCTATTTTAATTAAACACATCCCCGCTTCAAAGATACATTTTGCACAATTTTGCATCCCTCTCCCACATGCTACGTCATTCTTTCTCTGCAGTTTCTTTCTTTAACCTAATCGCTGCTCAGGATTAAAACAGAGACTTTTTGGCTGTAAATACGACCAAAGTTAGTATCTATTGCTTTTTTTTGCCTGATGCTGCTTGACCATATCCTTTGCTTCACCTTCCTTCTCTGCTGTTGAACATGTAAACTTTGTATATAGAAATCGTGGGGCATGTGTAGCAGCCCTAGTGTTGTACCAGTTTTAAGCAAAAATATATTTCTGAACAATTGTTTCTGTGTACAATAGAAGTGGTGTTTTAACCATCAAGCCAATTGTAATTTTCACACCAGTCATCATCTAAGCAACAGTCTTCTCAGCCATAACGAGAGAGGATATTGGTTTTATATTCTAAAAAAACCACAGCATCGCATGGCTATATTTTTCTCTTGGCCAAATTAAGGTCCTGTTGTACAGACATTTTTTGGAAGCAGGAGTCATGAAAAGTGTGCAACGCCTTCGCCGGGAATTAAACCATGGACCTCTGGAAAATGCACCCAGCGTGCAGACCAACACACCACGAAGGCATGCTAGGAAGGTGGGAGAAATACCTTATATACTCCCCCTTTTAAAGGGCTGAGTTTGGGGTTTTTAGGGGACCCAATTGCCATATCCTGGGTGTGGAGAATCATCATCCACCATCCTTTTAGTTTGGATGCCACTGTAGAGATATTAGGTATTTTTTGGAAGCAGGAGAGATGAAAAATGAGCAACCGCTTCGCCGGAAATCGAACCATGGACCTCTAGAATATGCGCCCAGCATGCGGACCACCAAACCATGAAGGTATGCTAGGAAGGTGGGAGAAATACCTTATACTGTAAGTAACTTGATACCATGCCTTGTTTGGTAAGTGGAATTAAGCAATAGAAAATACCGAAGTCCAAGGAGTAATGTGCGTTATTAAGTGTTTATTCTGTGCCATAGGTTACCTCGAAGCACCCGAAATTCATTTGTTGTAATCTGAGATAGTATTTGTCAATTAATGCATTTCTTTCTCAAATAATCTGTTCATGATCTGAAGTTCTATTGTTTACGTATGAATAGGAAAGTATCTTTTATGTTAGAAATGTAGCAAATTCATCTTCCAAAGAAACAGATTCTCGTATCTGTGTGTGCAAACATACCTCATAAACATTAGCTGTCATGTTACCTGTCATAGTAGATAAAATAAAGATTAGGTGGTAAAAAATTAACAATAAAATGTAAACTAAGGCCAAATTGATTGTTGTTGCATGCTGAAAGCTGCTATATTCATATATACTCTCACTTTTAGTACTTACAAATGAAATCAAAGTAAAAAAAAAAGTATTTTTTAACTGTTCCTAACATCCATTTTATAAAAAATCGCTTGACATGATTTCGATGGGCTCTAGATATCTTCCACTGTGCTATTAAATACAAGAATAATGATTCATATGTGGCTTCAACATTTTATTTAGCAACTGATTGATGTTTAAAAGTAATTCTTTTCTGTTCAATTTTCTATACATAGTATTTAGAATGGAGCTGATGTTTAGGTTGATTAATAACCATTCTTGATGCAACCCACTCTTAACCTATTTGTAAAATTTTCAATTGATCTGCCATTTACTCTTTGCATAAGTGAAAAATAAAAATGCTAACTTCTTAGTTTTATTTATCTTTCGAATTTTATCTATATTAATTTTAATAAGATTACAGAAATCATAAATTGAAATCTAATACTTTTATCCATTTATTGTAATGCTTCATAATGCAGTCTGTACTTTGCAGCATCAGAAGGGGGAAAAATTATATTTTTTTATTGAGAGAAAAGGTTTTTGTTATTGCTTTATGTAATAAATGTTTACTCTTTCAGATTTTAAATTTTGTGCTAGTTTGTTTAATTTTCTTTTTCCTTATTCAAATATATCAGTATTTCCTTTTTCTCTTTAACTAACTATATATAGAATTTGTACTCATGTGTTAAGGATTGAAGTTTATACATTCTTCATGTTTTCATTTTTATAGAAACGAAGACAACTGGCTGAGAATAATAGAAGCATATCCAAATTACGATCTCCTGTTGTGTGTGTTCTAGGTCATGTAGATACTGGAAAGACAAAGATACTTGATAAAGTAAGTCTGGAATAAAATGTGCAATATGATATCAGTTTGAAAAACTATCCCTATAACAATTCTTTAGTTTTAACAAGCAGTATCACCATTTTTATGTGCGTTGTGTTGGCTGTAATTTAATTTCAAGTGTTTTTTTTTTTTTTTTTTTTAAATATATATACAAACCGTGTTGTTAATACATTGCATGTACAGCAAAATCAGGATCTGCAAAGTTAACACTCTGTGAAAAAAATGTTTTAGGTTTAGTTCAAACTAAGAAAGTATGTATAATTTAAATATTGTTGTAATTAAAAGGGAAAAATTAAATAAATGTTAATTGAAAAGTGTTTTGTTACTGCTTAAATAAGTAGATGTATGGTAATTTTTTTTTTTTTTTTTTAATAGTTTGTGATTTTTTCTAGGGACAATATTTTGCACTAAGGAGCATAAGGTTATTCAATGCACTGTAAACAGTGTCCTTTTCTTTCTTCGTTTGAGTCAGTATCCACTTTACAAACATCTGTCAGCTCCTGTGCTTTTATTAACAATTTGTTTAACTCCTTGTAAGTTAAAGGCACTTGGTCATCTTCACTATTGCTGCTTTCATTTTCAGCTGCTGTTATGAGATCATCCAATTTTTCATGTATCATTTCTTGATCATCATTTGTGATTAATTTTTTAACTTCTCCTTCCTTCCATGTTTGAAAATCTGTTGTGCAGATTGCTTTTGCAATTTGCATGATTTCTTTAGTTTCATTTTTAACTGATGTAAATCCTTTAAAATTTTTGACAACTTCTTGGCCTGAGCTGATGGCAGCAAGCATTCAATGATGATGAATTCACTTATTCTTATGAACGTTTAATCATTTTTACCTAAGCTTTTGTATTCCACTTCTGTGCAACAGGTAATGGCTCAAAATATTTTTCCTGTAATACATGTGGGGTTTTAGTTCGATAAAATAACTCTTGAAGTCACCTGATGCATTTCTACAAAAAAACAAAGTGAGTCTATCCTTAAAAGCTTTAAAACCTGGGGTAATCTTTTTGCTTCTTTGTGATATAAGCTGTTTTTCCATTCACTTATGAAATAAACCTTTCGTAACTTCATTGGGAGTATGTTGCAGAACAAATGTCATCTTTAATGAATTTCTAAAATTGAATTTTTCTGCCACTTCTTTACCTGCAGAACCAGCATACCCTTGAAACTTTACATCATGCAAGTTAAAATGACAGCCAAAGTTATCCATCTATTTTACTAGCAGAATTCTTGAAATTTGAGCAGCCTTTGCCCAAAGTATTAGTGAAGCTTTGACACCAATTGAATCTTTTCTGCATATTCGCATATTGTTCTCATGCTTGATTCATTTCTTGCTAGTTTTCTGGAGAGCATTGAAACATGTGTACTATTTTTCAGCTTATCTAAAATTTAAATTTTATGAGGTAATGTCAAAGTTTTGTGTCTTTTTGCTGCATTATTATTTTCATTCCGTCTCTTAGATATCATATTGAGTTTTTGAAATAGCTGTTGTAAGTGATTGCAACATGGCCTGGGTCATTCAGCCAAACAGGGTTGCCAGATATGCATGTGAGTGGTCTCTTATAATAAATATATTGCTATGGCATTGTAGCCAATGCTGTGCAGCATATCACATTTGAATGAAATTCAAGAGTTAGACATATTAAATGGAAACATTTAAGATAACTTATATGTGCAAAATCGCATTCTGCAAATCTGTGCTTGGCAAATGTTTATTGTATAACCTCACAAAATTAATGATAGATGTAAGGTTTCATTGAATATCTATTCTGTATGTTGTATTATATGCTGATAAAGTGTATCATTTTTATTACATCTTCTGTTTTTGTTCTTAATTTTGACTTCTTAATTATCATTTTACATTTTATTCTTTCTTGTTAAAATTCATTTAGAAAATGTACATGAATGTCACAAAAATAGCTTCAAAAATTTTAAAAAGCAGTGTAGTTCTTTTTTTTGGGGGGGGGGGAATCTTGTATGCATGCATTGAAGAGACAGATTGCAATTAAAAAAAAATACACAAGAATTATGAAAATTTCTTAGTTAAATATAATATTAAATATGAAGAAATTGCAGAAACATGAAATAATAGCATTTAGTATTCTCATTATATATTTTAAGTTTGTAGAACTTTCGGTAAGATTTCATCAATACAGAGAAATGGTTATAAAACAAATAACATTTTCTTTATGCAGATTCGTAGCACACATGTTCAAGACAGTGAAGCTGGTGGTATAACTCAGCAAATAGGCGCTACAATGGTACCACGTGAAGCACTTCAACAACAATGTAAATCTGTAAAAAATGTAAGTATTTTATATATATATATATATATATATATATATATATATATATATATATTCTGTTGAAGGACTAAGGAACAGCAACCTTTGTATAAATTTGAAATCCAAAATTTTTCGTTCGTGTGTGAAATTATTTGGCTACCGATATTTTTAACAGATAATTGTTTTGACCATCAAATAGATAAATAGATTAGAATATACTTATATTGTTATAATAATGTTTGTTAAGTAATTATTTCTAAAAGAATCTTTAGCAATTTCTTTATTATAATGGTCTGTAGCTTGAAAATTATAGGATAGGTATTCAAGCATTCAGATTTCAGTAAAATGAACAAAAGGGGTTTTATCTTCTGAACTACATAACTTATTAATCTGCCTGTAATCAAAGGGTTGTTGTTAACTAGATTTGTAATATTGCTTATTTCTTCTTCATTTTCATAACTTTCCATTCATTTAGGATGATTTCAAACTATTAAAATAAAGTAAGAAAACAATAGTTTGATAATTTATAACAGGTGGTAATAAATCTGATGATCAAATAAAAGTGGTAATGCTGCTCAGAAAGTTAATGAAGAAATACTTTTTGTAAATGTAGAAACTTAAAAAGAGTTTTAAATTTATATTATAAATAATTTTTATAGTGTTTGCAGGATTTAAAACTTACTGTGCAGTGAATAATTAACATGTTTTTGGTCACTGATTTTTTACGAACATATCATCATGGTTTAATAAACTATAGTTGAAATCATATTTTGCTTTTTTAATATCCAAAAATGTGTAATGTGAGGCAAAATTTAGTTTGAATTATTTTATAAATATATTACAAAGTTTATTTATAAGTTGGATAACTGAACTAAAAGTTAAAAATGAAAGTGTAAAATTTGGGGGGGGGGGACAACCTTAATTTTTTTACAGGAGCAAAAAATATTTTTGCTCCTGCTTTTTGCTCTTAAAGAAGAGGGACCTGTATCTGACCACCCTTGAAATCAATAGTTTTATCCAAGTCTGCCCAAACTTTGCTTCCTTTTTTGCCTAATTTGAAATGTTGAATAACTTAATGATATGAAAAATTACATTTATAGGAGTAAAGGCAATTATTGCAATCAATGCTAATCTTAATTAAATGTCATACCAAGTCTGTATATAGTGTTTTCTATTTTATTTTGCTAATTTGAATGAATGACAGTGCATTGAAAAGCAGTTTTATAAATAATTATATAGTGACTTAAATGATAACAATAAAATACTAGTTCAGTATTCAGTTGTTAATGACTCATTACATACTCTGCATCTCTCTCTCTCTCTTTTTTTTTTTTTTTTAAGTTTTAGGTCTGTTTTACCTAAAGATGATAAATATTAAAATATTCTTTTTGATTTTCAGTTTTCAGATCTTGAACTGAAGGTTCCTGGCCTTCTTATCATAGATACTCCTGGTCATGAATCTTTTAGGTATGCATCTTCCATGTTGATTGGTAGCAAAACTTTTTGTATTGATACATAGTATCAAAATCTCAGAAAATTGTTTGTGACTTTATATAAATGAAATGCATGTATATTTCTTGAAATTTCATAGTTTGAAAATTTACCCATTTTTATATTTTTGATAATTTTATCAAGCTGTTCTCCATTTTTCGAGTCTTGGATGCATTTATTCTGAAAACCATTTAGTGTCAAAAGCTGTTATGCTGATGTTAAAATCAATATAAGTGTTCAGACGACTGTGGCTTCTAATCCTTTATAATCATTGCTAATAATTAAGTCAAATTTAAGGCATTCATAATCAGTATTTCTGAGAATACGTTTTTGTGATTTTTCAACCTTAATTCATTATGCTTTGATGAAATAATTCCAAATTTTCTCAAAAACATTTTATTGGACTTTTCTGTATAAGCCATTCCATGCATTTCCATTACTATACCTATGTATTTTTCCTTATTTCTTTCCCCATACCTTTGCTTTGATGCAAGGTGAAATAAATAATAAATCTTTGTGCAATGTATTAAAAATTAGTAATGATAAAAATTGCATTATTAATTACAGTGGTGCATCAATATATGTCATTAATTCCATTCCAGATTCTTGGATGTATACCAAATGAACCCTTCCAATAGGAACAACAAGAAGAATTTCTCCAATAGGAGAAAATAATTAAACCATTCTTATAAAAACCCTATTGTTATTATTATAATATTGTGTAATTCTAAAATAGAAATAGAGTGTGTGAAATTACATACTACATATAAATGAAGCATACTATACTTTATACTGTACATATATGCTTTTCATTAACTTTCCTAAAGCTCATTGTTAATGAATTTACAAAACATTAAGGAAAAAAACTCAAAATCACTTGAAAATTCTGAGTTATAGCGAGGGTTGTTTACTAAATAGTAGCAACAAGCATACTTATGCTCATGGACAGTCATAGAGTTGAGTTGTCAAAAAAGAGGTAAACAAGTGTATTGTGCGCAGTTGCCACTTACTAAACTCGAGTCATGTACGAAGGGGAAAATTTTACATTAAAACTAGATGTACAAGAAGTTGGGCATATTTCAAAGTGGGTGTGTACTGAGGTACCTCTATATTTTCATAATTAAAAATATGGTAACTGATACACAGAGGATACTTATGTACAATAAAAAATTAAGATGACAATCCACAGTTCGACAGTTTTCATTTTCTGTAGGGAGAAGGTTGCCATTGAGATTATGTCTGTTAGTGATCTTTAAAATTGATGTTCTCAGAAATACTAATCATTTTCACAAGTGATTGCATCAAAGATTTCACTGCGTATGTATGTATATATATTTCTTATACATACATACATGCACATATATGTATACACACAGCACACATTAATATCAAGTTAAGAACTTGAAATTTCTTATAATGCAGCTTCCTTTAATTAAAGATTTTATTTTCAGGACTAATTCATGCATTTTCATAAATTATTAATCTGAATAATGTTTTTGAATGTTTTGTATTCAGTTTTTCTAGATTTTCTCTTTTTACAAGTCTTTTTTTTTGGGGGGGGTATAAATTTTGCATTTCAATTAATATTGTGAAATGACGGGACGAATAAAACGTTTATTCAACACTCATTAATTATCCAGGTTAATTTTAAATACTTATGCCTTGAAAAGTTCTATTTAAAGCATTAAGCAAAGTATGATTAATAGTTTTTATTTGTTTATCCTATTATATATTTTTGACATTTTAATTATGTTTCATATTTCCCTCTTAAGAATCAAATTTGTCAAGTATTTTCCATCTTTAATAATATAAATAATAACAGCAAATAGTAAAGCATTCTCACTCTCGGTCGTCTTTTATAACTTTTAGTTCCTATACCAGTGGTTCCCAAACTGTGCACCACATCCTCTTCACAGAGGTGCAGTGAAATATTGTAAAAGCTTCATAATTAATTGAAGCATGACATTTGGCCTAACTAAACAAGAAACAAAATGAGAAACTAAAAATATCAAGATTTTTTTTGTATATAGTTTGTCTTGACTCTGCATAAAAGTAAGGTCCTGGCTCAGAATATTCTTGCAAATGTGAGCCAGCTACGCTGTGCCTCCTCCTCGGTAGTGCCGTATGATTGCCCTATACCTCATGGCAATCAAACCTTAGAACAATCCTTTCACAGCTCATTCTGTAAAGAGAAACTGTTAACTTTTCTTTATATTGTTGCTAAAGTTAGCTCATTGTGTCCTTTGATTTAAGTTTGCACTTAACGACTTTCAGAGGTCGTTTTTTCCACAGAGTCATAAATCTATCATTTTCGTTCAGATCAAATTTTATGCAATTTATGCTTATCACAGAAATGCCAGTCAAACCACCAGCAAAAGTAACAATTTCCTCACCGTATTTATTAGGAAAATGCTCCTGCAGTTTCACGAAAACATTCAGAACAATAATCTTAGTGGGACCGCATTCTGGTTTTCCAGCCTTATGAGGTTTTGCAATTATATACATATATCAAAGAAGAAGCAGATGCCATAACAATTGCTTTCTTTTTCTCCTGGTCAGCAAATGAATGAATGCTTAAATTGCTTTCCTCATTGAAAGTGGAGTGAGCTTGAGATTGCTGGAATTTGCTGTTTCGCCAATGCCAGAAAAAGGGGATGTCTTCATTTTGGTCATCGAACAATTGACATGGTATTAAATATTAAGAAATTTTTAAATGAAAAGTTGAATATATTTTTTTTTTTCTTCCATTCTCTTGTTCAACTATATTTATATTTCACACTCCATGTCTGGCTGCTATGGAGAATTACAAGCCCTTATTTGAAGCAGATCATCAATTGCATAGTGGACCTGCTGCATTATGCATAGAGAAGCACTTCAAAGCATCGGAATCTTGCACTGAATAAGGTGCATCTGTGAATGTGGTAAATTTTATAAAATCTCATCTATTGAAAGGAAGTTTTTTTTAAAAAAAACTGTGATGAGGGTATTGGAGCTGAACACTTGTCTTTGTTGTACTATGGCAGTGCACTTTGTTGTACTATGGCAGTAGCTTTTTCATTGTAATGTTTTAGCATGCACTTTTGAATTGCGGAATGAAATGTTTATTTTTATCAAAGACGAAGGATAAAGACCCAGAAGATTTTGCATTGCCAATTTTTTAAAGAAACTGGCATATTTATGCAACATTTTTGAAAGCTGAATTCCTTTAGTCTCTCTCTGAAAAGAAAAAAAATATGCAAAAATATTTTTGAAGACAACAGAAAAAAATATCAGCTTTTATCTAAAAAAGAAAAAAGCTCGGACTATGGAGAAGAAAAATGAATGAAGATACTGTCAAGGATTTTTCTTTTTAATGTTCCAACGCTTTTTGATGTAAAATGAACTTGATCTTGCCCAAGATATAAAAACAATTTTTGAAGGGCACTTATCACAGCTAATTATCTGGCTTGAGAAATACTTTCACAATGAAAATTTCTTTAGTTATGCATTTTTTTAATTTTGCATTTATTTAAGATCCATTTAACACTAGTGCTCCATCTGATTTACTTCTGCTGAAGAAGAGAATTTTATCAAGTTATCTTGTGACAACAGTTGAAATCAAAATTTGGCAGTATAGTATTGACAAAATTTTGGATTTCAATAAAAGATAAAAATCTCCATCTAATTGATAAAGCTCGGCAGATTTTAATTCATATTTGAAGTTGTATGTGGATGAAACTGGTTTTTCAGTGGTCACTGTAGTAAAAAGCAGGTACAGAGCAAAAACCAACTTGGAAAAGGAAATAAGAGTCACCTTGTCCAATTTAATTCCATCATTTGAGAAAATGTGTAGTGATTTTCAGGCTGATTTATCACACTGATTATTAGTTTAATGTTAATAAAGTTAAAAAAAAAAAGTTAACGAAGATACAGGAGTTTTGTTTATTTTTATCCATTACTTACAGTTAGTCATAGTTAGGATAGGGCGCCATGGAAAATTTTAAATTGAAAATAAGTGCCTCAATTCAGAAAAGTTTGGAAACCACTACCTTATACAATTTTGGTACTGTTCTATTATCAGGACCGAGTTCAGAAATGTGTGTGTGCATATATATGTTCATGTATGCATTTATATAAGTTAAAATGTATGTGCGTGTATACATATACACAAATATGCACATACATACAAACACATGTTCATACATTTCTGAGTTCAGTTCTGATATTAGAACAGTACTCAGTTTTTCCCATGAGAGAGTAATCTCTTTTTTTTTAAAAAAAATTTAAACAATGTTAATAATTTCTTTTACATAAATGAATGTATACAAAGTAAAAAACAGTTGAAAACCTAATCCAGTTGCACATTGGTAGCAGCAACAGGTGATGTTAATAATGCAAAGTAAATTAAAATAAAAAAATACATTTAAAGTTCATCCCATATTAAATTTGGAATAAACTACATGTAGAATAAAAAAAAAAAAAAAAAAAAAAAGAAGCATAGTGGCAGACTGCTAGAAATAGGAGGGTGAAATATGCCCAAACCAAAAATGACGACGAAATTTACATTCTTCACTGCATCATCACCAAGGGATGGGTGCAGCAAAAGAAGTAAACAAATAAAACAGCCTGTTTCTGAACTAACAAAAACGCAGAGTTTAAAATTTTAAAATAATCATAGAAAAACAATCAAAGTCATCTGTGTCTTTATCAGTCCAACCCCTACAGGCTGAAGTAAGCAGTTCCAAGAGTTCGAAATTATAGCATCAAAAACGTTATATTAAAAAAGAATTTTTAAATAATAGACAAATTTAAAAATATATATTTTGAGTAATCAAGTCCAAAAACAAACATGGAAAAAAAATAATAATCCATTACTTAAAAACAAAAACCATATGCAAATTTCATAATCCAAAATTATAAATATAAAAATATATATATATATGCAAATTTTCAAATTACAAGTTGAAAACATAAGGCCAAGTTAAAAAATTATAGCAAATCATAAACATGCAAAAAAAGCTTAAAAATCCAGTAAATATTTTTCACTATTAGTGGATTGATTCCAAAAACATGTAAAATGGAAGAAATCCAATATGCAAAAATTAAAGAAATAAGTGAACATTTGATCTAAAAAAAATAAAATAAGGATAAGTTCTTGAAATCTATTACACAAAAGCAACAGTAGTTTTGAAATGAAAAAATATGTATATACCTGTATAGTAGCAACACTAAAATGTGTTAAGTAATGAAGTTTGATAATGTATGAATTTCAAACTGATTAAATTCTAAAAAAAATTAGAAAAAACTTCTCTTACAACATAAATGTAAGTAAAAATAAATAATTTGTAAAAGGGAAAAACATCGAATTACCTGGATTATAAATGGCAACAAGAGCACCTATTTGAATGAAATATTAATTTGCTTCAGTTCAACAAATGGAAAAAGTTAGGGATAAGTTGTAATGCAAACTACAACTTATGATGTAGTCAGAGCTGTTCCTATTAAATTGTAGGCAGAGTTGTGAGCATTTTCTTAGTTTGCTTACAGTTTATTAGAAACAAGCTTAACTACATCACAACTTTAATTATTTAACTTATTAATTTTTTTTTATTTTTCAAAAGACTTTTATTTTTTCAAAAAAAATCACAATGCATTACAATTTTTAAAAAAAAATTATTATTTTATTATTAAACACTATAACATTTTCCATCCATTTACATTCGAACTGAAGCAAATTAATATTTCACTTAAACTCAGATTGGCAGCCTTCATAGGATTCATTAACCAGGTAGTTTGATGATTTTTCCTTTTTCAAACTATTCATTTTTATGTCTACACATTTTTTGTTACAACAGAAGTTTTTTATAATTATTTTTTTCAACTTTAATCAATTTAAAATTCCTAATTTCTACTACAATTTATTCTTAAGCTATCTACTATACTTCTTAACTATCTATTTCTATTATAATAAGCTATTACTATACTATACTTCTTAACTATCTATTATAATAAGCTATAATTTTAATCTTTGTAACTATACAGGCATATATGAGTGTGTTTGTGTACATATATATATACACACACACACACCAAAGTGCCATTACATCATGACTACCCCCCGTCTATAACAATGAGCTCACCCAGGAACAAAACCACTGCATATGTGTGGCTGATGTTGGAGTATATAAAGCGATTATGCATTGTCTTTCCAAACGGGGCATGATTAGTGACATAATGGGAAAAGCAGCTGATTTATCAGACTTCAATAAAGGTTAAATCATTATGGCTCGGCGACCAGGACCATCTATATCAGAAATGGTGCATTTAGTGGACTGTTCATGTGCAGCTTTGCGAACATATATCAAAAGTGGTGTATGGATGGTGAAACGACAAATCGGCGGGAGATTGCTATGCATTGTTTACTGTGACCAATGAACTGCAATAGCCGAAATTACTACCAGCTGCAACAGTGGCGAACCAGACAGTGTTTCTCAACACACTGTGCAACATACATTGTTGTATATGGGCCTGTGCAGCTGGAAGTCGAAGCATGTCCCTGCACTGATAGCACGGAATTGGACATTAGAAGACAAGAAACATCGGAATTGGACATTAGAAGACAAGAAACATCGGAATTGGACATTAGAAGAATGGAAGAAAGTTGTATGGTCCAACGAATCATGTTTTCTCGTCCATCACATAAAAGGGCGTGTGGTAATACGCTGGTTTCCAAACGAAACCCTGGCTCCTGGGTCCAAAGTTGAATGTAGACTAGCCGGTGGCAGGAGTATTATAGTGTGGACAATGTTTTCATGGGGTGCATTAGAACCCAATATGCCCATAGAACAATCTCTAACATCTGTGCACTACACGAACGTCATTGAGAACCAGGTTCACACATTCATAACAATGGTATTTCCGGCAAGAGATGCTATTTACCAACAGGATAATGCACCATGTCTTAAGGATCGAATCGTCAGGGAGTGGTTCGAGGAACATTTCAATGACTTTAGAATCATGTCTTGGCCTCCAAATTCACCTGATATTAATCCAATAGAGCATTTGTGGTCCTATCTGGAAAACCGAATTCATGCTGCCATGCTACTCCCTCACAATGTGCAGGAATTGCAGGAGCATTTGGTGAGTGCTTGGTACCAGATACTTAAGACTACATATCAGCACCTTGTTTGGTCAATGCCATGCCGGATGCTGGCAGTTTTGAGGGCTAAAGGTGGTCATACTGTAATGGCTCTTCGGTGTATATTTTTTCATTTCAAAATTTCTTTTGCTTTTGTGTAACAGATGTCAAGAACTTACTGTTATTTTTTATTAATATTATTGTATTTTATATTTTTCAGACATTTTTATATTTTCACTTTTTTTTTTCATATGTTAGATTACTTCTATTGTACATGTTTTTGGACTTCATCCACTAATATCAGTTTTTTTTTTTTTTTTTTTTAATTTAATTTTATTTTTTAAGAATTTTAAGCTAGTTTTCTCATTTATGATTTGCTATTATTTTTTAAACCGAGCCTATATGTTTTCAAACTTTGCATATAGTTTTGTTATTTCCAGTTTCGCATTAAAGATTTGCATATGGTTTTGTTTCTTTGTATTATATCTCCAAATTTTTTTTTTAATTTGTCTATTTTTATGCAATTTTTTTAATAATTCTGTAATTTTGCATTTTTGGCACTGCTTACTGTGTCTTCTAGGGATTTGTCTGATAAAGACACAGATTACTTTGATTGTTTTTCTAAGATTGTGTCTTAATCAGTTCAGAAATAGGCTCTTTTATCTCTTTATTTCATTGCACCAACCCTTTAATGATGATGCAGCGAAGGATGTAAATTTCATTTTCATTTTTGGTTGTGGCATATTTTGCCCTCCCCACATTTCTTGCAGTTTACCACTGTGCCTCTTATCTTTTTACATGCAATTTATTCCATATTAAATATGGGATGCATTAAAAAAAATTTTGTTTTAATTTTGTTTTATTTCATTCGGCATTTTATGTATATAGATATACTATGTAATAAATGTAAACTGTCTGTTCAATGAATATTTGAAACTATTTTAAACATTTAATTTAAATTTAAGATTATAAATGTAAAATCTAAAAATGCACAGAAAACGCATAGTGTTATTTGAAAAAAGGAGAACAGCTTCTGATAAACTTGATAACTATCAGTCACAAAATTTTTAAGCATTCCTATTTGATGTTATGTGTGCAGTTTTTTATTTATATGGATATGAAGTTCAATTATAATTAAGTTTCAGCTTATCTAAATTTTTTTTAATGAATGCTTTCAATATATAAGGCTTCCAGTGAATGTTTTACTTAAAGGATTATAGTTATTGCAAAGTGAGTAATTATAAATGCTAAGGAAGCAGATTTAATTTTTTTTTAGAAAAAATGATTTGATTTAAATTATTGCATAAATAATGAAATCTGCTGTAGACTAATTGAGTAATTTTTTTCACTTTTTTAGCAATTTACGCTCCCGAGGGTCTAGTCTTTGTGACATAGCAATTCTTGTTGTTGACATCACTCATGGATTAGAACCACAAACAATAGAATCAATAAACATATTGAAGCAAAGGAAAACTCCATTTATTGTTGCATTAAACAAGGTGCTGTTCTTTTACAATTTGCATACAAAAAAAAAAAAATCTTTTTTATGTAACAGCTGAGAATTATATCAGTTTTTCTTCATTTTTCTATGTGTTTGAGCAAAATCTGTCCAAAAAAGAAATCAAACTGTAAAATTAAAAAACTTACATGTCAGTGTTGCAAACCTGCTTTAATGATGCTGTTGAGCATTAATCTTGATCTTCAACTTGCTTTTTCTTCAGAATTCCACATCGTTTTGTCATTGTTTTATGTATGGTGGAATGACCCAATATTTTGTGTGCAGCAGTTATGTACATTTTGTCAGTGAAAAGTCTTGAAAAGCAGCGAGCATATGTGAAATTTTGTATAAATTTTGTAGAAACCTTTATTGAAACATTTAAGGTATGGCAACAAGCTTATAAAGAGGATTATTTTATCCAGTCCCAATGCTGTGAATAATACCAACATTTCAAACTTTACCAGCAAGGACCATCTGAAAACTAGGCATCCTTCTTTCTATGTCAGCAGCTGATCTTCATGTCAAAAAAATGCATCCTTTGGTTCATGCAAATTGTTGTTTCATTGTCTTTGAATTTGCTGAAGATCTAGACATGAACAGAAGCTCATGTTACACAGTTTTGGCTGAAAAATATGTAGATGCATCCTATTATAGCAAAATTGTCTTGTCTCTTGACTGGTGGGCAAAAAAGGAATCATCACAGCTAGTCAGGAATGATTAGATCTTTCAAATGCAGATAAGAATTTTCTAAAATATGTTAAAACAGGTGAGAAGCATGAGTTTAAGAATATAAAATTGAAACAAAAATGTGTTAATGTAACAGGTAGGCAGTTGTTGCAATGGATAGGAACAACATCCCAAAGCCAGAACAAATATATCTGAGTTGAATGAATGTGAAAGTGATGTTAATTGGCAAGGAATTATTGTCTTTAATTTGTTAAAGAAGTCAAACAATCAAAGCACACTTTTATTTGGATGCTAGGAGACGTTTAAGAGAAAGATAGTGATAGAAAATGCTAGAAGTTTCTAGGAACAGTACCTGGATGTTTCACCATGCTAGCACTCATTTCTCTTTCCATAACCATGATTTTTCGACAAACAAAAGATGCTGTCATTCCACAAAGTTTGGTTTCTTTCTGGACAGATCTTGTGTGTTTACGATTGGTTTTTGTTGTGAAATTAAATGTTTGCAGTTTCTTGAATTTAAATGTAATCACTCTTTGATATAAACAGTAGTGAACTTTTAGAATGTAAAAGCCATAATTTTCAGTATTAAATCTTCTAAAATGTTTTTATATTTGCAAGTTCTCTATAAAAAATAATATTAGTATTTAACTTATTATTAAAGCAAGATATGGTCTTAATTTTTATTGCCTTTGTATATTGCAAAAATCTTTGTTATACTTTTTAAAAGAATTTGGTAATTTTTTAAATTTTTAATTTTATTATTAATTTTTATTGTTTGTCTTCTTATGTGATAAGCTTATTTTGTGCTTATACATATTTATAAGAATTTTTTTTTTTTAATTTAGTTACGTTTTTCATGAAAGAACTGGTGATGCAAATTTAAATAGCTTTTGTTGCAGAAATAAATCTATCAATTAAAAAAAGTCTAATTATTCATTTTAATGTTGTTAGTTTTATTGCTCCATAAAAATGTTCTTATATGTCTGTAAATGAGATAGCTTTAATGTAATTATGTAAATTAATAATTGATTGAACTTTATATAAATGTGTATCATACTTTAAAATTTGTTCATCTCCCCTTCATGCTCTGCCACATGTTGGGCAGTATATTTACTTATTTATTTTCATTATAGGTTGATAGATTATATGAATGGAAATCGAAGCCTCATTCAGATATTCAAGATCTTATCAAAAGCCAATCTCGATCAACAAAACAGCTTTTTGATGACAGAGTAAAACAAATTATCCTGGAATTTGCTCTTCAGGTAATTTTACTTTGTTATTTAGAAAAATTGATAGTTACAGTTTAAATCAGCTTTTTATCAAGAAAATTTCTTTTTGGAAGAGATTGTGCTTAATCTTTGAGTGGCATATGAAAATTTCACTTTTTAAGCTCTGTTACAATCATAACTGAATGGGCACAATCTTGTGTGTCTGGGCATGACATTCAAAATATTTGTAATAGTTCAAATTCTTTGAACCATGAAAATTATTTTTTCCTAAAGAGAAAGTGCTTTGGAAAACTCAGTTATTCTGTTATAGTCATGGAGATTAAGTAAATTAATGTATTTTTGTCTTTAGCTATTCTAGAGAAATGCAAATGAAGATTAATTGTGTTATATATGGAATAGGCATCATCGATATTTTATTAATAATAATGTGGTGTAATTAGATTGAAAATAAGTGAATTATCAGTTATTTGTTTATAATTCTCCCCCACTTTTTTTTTTTTTTTTTTTTTAATGAATAGTCTTTGAATGCTGTTCTGTATTATGAAAACCAAGACCCTCGCTCATATATATCAATGGTACCTACATCTGCTGTGACAGGTGATGGAATGGGAAATTTAATGTCTTTAATTGTGGAATACACACAAAACATGATGGCTAAACGATTAATGTTTTCCGAAGAATTGCAAGCAACTGTATTAGAGGTAAGTATTCTGACTTTCAAATTGTATTTAAGTATTGAATTAATTTATGTAAAATGAAATTTTGGTTGTATTATTTTATAGATTATTTTAAATAATTTTCATTTTATTCCAAATATCCTACATCCTGTACTAAATGCTGTATATAGTTACATATATTTCTTGTAATTTTATTGTGAGTTATCTTATATTTTGAGAAAATTCTAAAAATTTAGGTCAGATTGTAATCAAAATGGAAGTTGAAATGAGTTATTTAAAAAATAGTTTAAGGAATATTTTACAAAATTAAAGTAAGGGAAAAGATTTAATTTTAATTTTTTAAATAGTGATAACAAAAATATTGAGTTGATATCATGATTTATGTAAATATTTCTGTCCGTTTATTTATAATTTGATTATGTAATTTAGTATTGTTTTTGTTTATTTAGTGCCTTTTTGCTTTTTTAGATAATTTATGTTTTAAAAACAAATAAAACCTTTTTTTTTTTCTCATTTTAGACCACTTAGTGTGTTTTTTATGTATACAAATTGTTTTACTCAAATTTTAATTCGATGGAATCTGAAAATCCCTTCTTGGGCCTAAATAATTTCGATGGGGGTTTCATAAAGTTTTTTTGAATAATACCTTCAAATATGTACATCATTTTAACTCTTATAAAGACAAAATTTCAAATAATCCTATGTGATACATTTGGCCAACAGGTTGCCTGGAATCTGGCTATGCATAATTCAACTATTATATATTTCAAGCATGATAATATATGTTGTAAATGCTCATTTGACAAGCAGAGTGATGAAAATGTTCCATATGCAATATTTCAGCAAGAAAGGAATCATTACAAAACTATCATTTTGCTTCAATTTTTTTCTAATGTATACATAATTTTATCTGCTTCCTAACTGTTTCAAATTTTTGACCTGTCCACATAATTGAAAAAAAAAAAAAAATTATAAATTTCTACATATGTTAAGCATGCAGTATATCTTATTTATAACTTTCATGAAAGTAAATCCTCATGAAAAAATATTTTTGGCCAATTTAATAAAAAAAAAAACTTTTTAAATTAACATTTACAGTTTTTCAAAATATTTTCAGTTGTTTGGGGGAGGAGTATAAGTGTGTTAAAGCTATAGTATTACATTGGTGGAAAAATTTATTTCTGCAGATTTATTTAAAATAAAATCTTACAGAAGGTGAACTTTATTATTTAAATAAAGTTTAAAATTTTTATAAAATTGAAAATCCAGTGATATTTTTATATTTACATCATGGTGCTGTTGAAGTATAAATATCTAGAAACCTATACAGTCATTCAAAATCATAGTGAAATATGGACAATTTTTGCCAACTGCCCTTCCCCCTAAAAAGAGATTTATTTTACTGTTATAGACTACTAATACAGGAAGAAAATATTTATCACTGCAAATTTACTCAAGCACAAATATCATTTTTTAAATTAAATATTATGTAGCATTGTACTTTTTCAAGCTTTTCAATAAAATAGTCATGTTTTGAAACATATGAAAGTGTATAAAGAAAACATAAAAAGCTCCCCAGTTTATGTCAGATTGTGTAATTTTATTATTTTGTATTGAATTATTCGAACTGTTTTATACTTTTAAATTTGTATTTAATTTAAATTTTAGTAAACATTAGTGATTTTTATAAAACTTTTAAAAGTTGCATTGCAATGTACAAGAATCTACAAATATTCTTTCTAATTTTGATAGTTTATTAATTAACAACATTCTGATGGTATGGGATTTATGAAATAAATTTAAAGAATAACTTGAAAAGTTTTCTATGCTTATAATCAATTAATTGAGTTCAGTTGGGCATTTTATCAGAAAATCTTTGAAGCCTGTATTCCATTCTTAAGGAAAGTTTTTGCAATGGTAGTTCTTACAACTGCAGGGAAATGTAGATAGCTGCTATCTTGTTTAAAGATGACTATTAGGATGTCTTCTTCCTTTATTCAGAGAATATATCCAAGCAAGCATTTCCTTCAAAAATGAATTCCTATAAAAAAAATGGTGCATGCAGTTTATCCACAAAAACATCTTTTTTTACAATATCTCTTTCATGTCAATCACATATTGAGATTTTCAACTGTCCCAGAGTGTCAAATTAGAACAATTTATGAGTCTGGTGTATGGAATGTCCCCTCACCATTGAGAGTTGGCTGTAAACATCATGTAACATGTCTAGATATTAGTAACAGAAATGGTGACACTTTACACTGCATGTGAGTTTCAGCTTTTGCAAGAGCTTTATCTGATATGACAGGTGTTTTTAAGGAGTTTTCCAGGAAACTAATTTGTGAATATTGAGTTTCCAGCTGGTATATATAACAGGTGTTTTTAAAGAGTTTTCCAGAAAATTAATTTTTGAATATTAAGTTTCCTGCTGATATGGCATAGGAAAGACTTCCCTATGTACGCCTAGAGATTTGTCTAATTACTTTTCAATGCATTCTTGACTTACAGAAAACTTTCAGCGCTTTTTTCTTTTGGGAGTGAGTAGCTTGTTTTTTATCCACAGTGTCTGTTGTAACAAATTACTCATGTCAAGCACAAATAGATGATTTCCTGAGGAGTCCACGTGTTTCTTTCAAAATATCCATTTTACTCTGATAATTCACGTAATCTCGTGAAGTGTTCACACACGAAACATTTCTTCTGGTCTCTTAATCATTTTGTCTTGGTACCTAATGAAACTCAAAGCATTGACACTCCAATAATGATAGAAAATTTTTATGCATTCTTCTTTCATATTGCCTGTATTAAAGCAGTTATTTTATACGCCTGTGAATAATAGAATACTGAGATTCAATAAAATATATCTGGACAGCTAATATATCTATCAATACATGTAATTTAAAATTGAAAAGGCAATTGAAATTTTCTTTAAGTGACCTAGAATTACCCTTATATAAGAAAAGAATGTTATACTATACGAAAATGTAAAGATAAGCATATTAAATTTTATGCTTAAAATGGTCTTAAAAATTATGATTGCATGTTTAATATGTAAGGGAAAAGACAAAACGTTATTCTTTTTTGCTTTGTAATTTTACCAAATTGCCTGTTTTGTCTTTTTATTATTATTATTATTATTATTATACTCATTTCATAGTTATAGATTGAATTTGTTTTCCTTTTTTAGATTAAATCTATAGGTGGTTTAGGCCATACTATGGATGTAATTTTAGTGAATGGCCGTTTGCGGGAAGGTGATACGATTGTCTTTGCTGGATATGATGGTCCAGTTAGTTCTCAGATAAGATCTCTTTTAACACCTCAACCACTGAAAGAACTGCGAATTAAGGTTAGTATATTATTTTAATATTTAAGGGAAAAGATGATCAGTCAGGAAACATTTTAATGATAAAGGTTTTAAAAATATTAAAAAATATATGCATAACATTATAGTTTTTCATAAACACCGTGAAATACACAAAACTCAAAACATTTCTGTGATTTATCCAAATTAAACGCTTGTGGAATAGATACATCAGTTGTGAATGTTATCCCCATCTGCAATGAGGATACAAATATGAGAATTCAATATATTGATTCAACATCCAAAAAATTATCAATACGAATTGCCAAGCATAAGAAAGACATTTAAGAACTCTTTGCCAGCTGTATTATCAACAGAGTAACAAAAATAAATAAATAAATAAATAAATAAACAGTATAAAAGCAGCTTAAAAATTACATAAATGTTAGAAACTGGATTGTATTGCAACAGAGTCTACCGTAGATCTGGATGTTGATCTTCAGAAATATAACAGCCCTACAGAAGAAAACAATAAAAGAATGGAAACATTGTCAAATCGTTCATTCCATTTGTAGCTGACAAAGCAGATGGGTTGCCTGTGAGACCTTGACTTACTAATATTTAAACTTGGGTTTAGCATGTTAACCTGTAACATCTTATTTTATTTAAACCACATTTGCCTGTTGATTTTTCAATTTTTTAAATACTGTATAAATCAAAATTTTAGTGTTTGAGTTAAAATTTATAGCAAGTATCAGTATTATTTTAATGATTTTTAACAATGTTTGTCATATTTTATCCTTTGCAACAATAGTGCCAACAATAGCATTCATAAAACTCTATTTTACAATGTGGTTCAAATATTATCAGGATGTTTTTTTAAACCAGAACCTTTATTGCAAATGAAAGAATTGAAAATATCCCATCCAGAGTCAGTACATTTTTGCTAACATTCTGGAAGCATTCTTATGCCCTTTTCATAGAAATTTTCAGTTGGCTGTGCATCCTCTCCTGAACACTGAATACAATAACATCATTTACCACGAATTGCATGCCTTCCGAAGGGGATTTAAACCTGGACTCAGAATTGAAGTATTGGACCCACATTTCATTGCAATCACTATGGATTTCTAAAATGCATCCCCTTGATCTTCCAACTGCCATTTGAAAGAACTGGTGGTTTGCATGCTTCTCTGTTCTTGTATGCCATTGTGTAAGGAATCCCGTTGGGTATATACCTTGCCGTAGTCATATTTTTTCAAGGTGGTTTCTACACTACCAAGACTGCCTAAAACCATCGAAGTTTTTTAATAGTGATGTGCTCACTCTCACGAATAACTGCATTCACATGATCAGTGCATGTCGAGGGGGGGATAGATGTTTTTCATGTACTCTTATTCCTGAATGAAGCACTTGCACTACTATTATTTTCGTCTTGTGCTTGCAATCTATGCCAAATTTCAGGTGATGACATTTTTTTGTACCAGAGATTAGATCACAGTGCATTGCTGCATGCTCCAAGGCAGCTATTACTCATCACTCCTGCTACTGCCAGACTTGACTGAGTAAGTTCTAACCTGCATAGGAGGTAAGATGGTAGTGGCTATATTCATGCAAGGGCACACAGCACTGCATAGCAATGATTTGTTACAGCAGCTATCCTGGCCATTTTTGAATCCTTTTGTACATAGAGTATTGCATTTCAAGAAAATACAAGTTCTGTACTGGGTTAAGTTCTAGAGATTTTGCTGACCATGGTATTCTCTCATAGGAATTCATGAACAAGGTTCTTGATGTGGAGGAGCATTATCATCCATAAATAAAAAGTCAGATTGATATGCACCTCTAAAAATTCTTGGGACCTCATCCCAATATTTCTGGCCAGTCACAAATCTACTGTTGAAAATGTAGGGATATACATTCATCGATTATTATTCCTACCCGTATTATCACATTCTCATTACCGAAGTGGCTATATTCCATAATATTCAACAGAAGATTTTTCATTCCCAACTCCTTCCAGACGTAAATGTATTTAGAATCGGATGTTAATCTAAACCTCAACTGGAGCTCTCCTAATGCATGGGCCTGCTGAGCATTTGCCGGGGGCCTCTATGAAAATATCAATCCATTCCATTTGCATTAACATAGGGGATCCACATTGGTTTGCCTGGGAAACCATAATGCTGTTAAGATGGCACTGATTTTAGCTCATCACTAAAAAGAACAGGGGACCACTCCAGTTCTGATGTTCATTAGACTAAGTAAAGCAATCCTCCTTTTATCGTGAAGATAATAAAACACATACCGTTGGCTTTCTTGCATAAAGTCCTTTTTCACTAAGCCTTCTGTATACAGTTTGCTATGATACAACAGTTCTAGTGGCGACTGCAAGCTTTGAACTCAATACCGATCAGTAGATTTCCGGTTATGAATGCCAGCTGTTGTCATATATCAATCTTGAGAAGAAGTAGATATTCGTTTGTGACCTTATCCAGGCCTCTTACAATAGTTCCATGATTGTCTGCCTTGTTTTGAAACAGCCAATGATATGCCACTTCTCAAATTCTTCCAAATGATACTTCAGAGCCATAGCAAACTGTTTTGAGTCCTTACACACTGAAATCAAATGCTGTATTGCAGAAGTTAACTCAGATTTTCACTTTGTGCAAAGTGCTGAATTCACTATCAGATTATTATCAAGTTATTACATTAAGAAAACAATTAATTCTATAGACATGCCTAGATTTGCATATCAGAAACTGTTTGACTTGCATTTAATTGGATAATGCTAATTAGGCTGCTGTAACTGCAAAAATGGGTTACATCAATTGGATATTTCATAGAATATCATTATTTTGGGAGTTGTAAAAGTGAATAATTCATTTACATTTAGTCTGAATTCATTTACATTTACCCTACATTCTTTCATTTTCATTTACATCTAGTCATTTAATACATTTTAGTGTGAATTTGACTGTTTCTGTTTAACCACATCACCTTGATATGTAGTTTATTTTGTTAGCATAAAAATGTGTCTTTATATTCTAATTTTTTTTTTTTTTTTTTTTAATAAGAGGTTTATTTAAACCTTTATCTGACTTTGTAGTTACTTTCAGACATATTGATAATTTGCTTCATGTCTGTTAGAGGTTTTGGACTATTTAACTTTCACCAGCTCATGCGAAACTTCATAGGTACATTGTCGAAAGATTGACAGGTTAGGAGAAAAAGCATGCAGAAATTAGTGTGAACATTGTTTTTCATATTGAAACCAAATTCTGATTGTTAGAAAATGTGCTCAGAGAGAAGGAAATTGATATAAATCAGCTAAAATGTCTGGGAAAGCTTCAAATTAAGAAGATACATAAATATTTTGTTGTGTGTTGTTGTTACAAAACACAAATATTTCATGGATTTTAATGTGTAATGATCCTAATATTGTTTAAGAGTCAATGTCATAAATTACTTGCATTTTAAGCTGTGAAATGTTATTAGATTGTGATTTTAATGGTGCTTTTTTAACAAACATTTTTAAATTATAGCGGCTGTATAAATTTATATTAACTAAGAGTATCTAACTACCTAGTTAAATTATTTGTAATAGCTTTGTAATGATCAAAGCAATTTATTGCCTTTCATTAATCCTTACAGTGATTATAAGACACAGCACAAGAATGAAAAAAATTATCTAAAATTTATTCTTTGCATCTAGTGAGACTTAAAATAATACAAAACAACTTGTCACCTCTGATGCTTTAGTGGCACTTTAAATTGTATTACAACCCCACAAGCTTTATACGAAGCTACGGCACTATCTGTGTCAGACAGGCAAAGCACAACTAACTTTCAAACCTTGCAAACTGTACATACATCAGGCTTTCAGGTTTGATCTGATCAACAAGTTTCTCTCTTTGGAAGCAGCAGCGGTAGCAACACCAAGCTTTTGCCATTTGACATAAAATCTACCTATTATTTACTAAACCTCTAGGCTGAGGAAGTATGTGACAAACTGAGACAAAAGAAAAAAAACATGAAGCTAAATGTTAGTAAAACATAAATAAAATGTCACTAATCTTCTTTCAAATATGTCCAACTATTGTAAGTGTAAAATATTCAATGCTACTCGATAGATTTGATTTAAAGTTGATTTTATGTTCAATTTTGTTTCATAATTATGTTTAATAATAATGCATCCTACTTAAGGTTCATTTTATTCTTAGGATGGCATTATAAAAGTGAAGTTCAGGCATAGATAATATCTTTAACTGAATTTATTCAGCTTCCATTTACCAATAGGTCCTTAATTTTTTCGTTAATGGTCTTAAAAGTATTTAATTTCTGCTTGCAGAAATGTGTACAAACCCTGGAATTTGTACATGAATGTACATAAAATTAAAAGCAAAGTAAGAATGAAGTTAAACTTCATATGTTTCTGTAAAAATGATTTGACCGTTGCTGCATAAACAAGAATTGTAAATAGTTCTTCTAATATTCCTACTTTATCAACTTAATCATGTGTTGTATGTGATTGGTACTAAACCATTATTCTGTCTCATTCTATGGATGGAGCCCACCAGCGGCCGAGCGGTAAAGTCGCTGAACACTGGTAGTTCGGTCTGAGGTTCGAATGCCGCGAACGGGCTGGCTGCATGGGCATTTTCCTGGTTTTCCCCATGTGTAACGTGTATACGAGCCAGTTTTCCTTAGAAAGTCCTCCACAAAGGCATCCCTCCTCTTAGGCAGATAGCCCTCGTATGCTTTGCCATAATTAAATACACCACACCATTCTATGGATGTCTTTAATAAAAACAAAATAATTTTTTTAAGAAATTTTCTTCTTTACTGGGGACCTTCATGATGTAGTTAGAAACACATCCAGTTATCTGTTAAGAGTTCGAATCTCATTGAAGGCATCTCTGATTCTTCGTAGTCATTCATCCATTCTTGTATTTCTCTTCCCCCCCCAAAAAAAAATTTAATGATTCTACAAGCAGTAGACAATAATTTCTCACCACCAAAATGTGGTGTCTAATTCTTCTCTTTCCTAGTCACTCTTTAAGTGGTGCAGAATGTAAAAAATTTTCTCCTTCCTTACTCGATGCCTTCAGGCTATAAGTGAAAGCACATACAGCTTAGCAATTGGGAATTCTGGAGTTTGAGTATGAGTAAGGGCATCGCTTATTCTTTATGTTTCCTTCTTCAAAATAAATTTAATGACTCTACAAATTAAATGTATTGCACAAATTGAATATATTTTATGTTGAGTATTTAAGTTTTTATGTGAATAAATTAATATTTTTCAGTGACCACTGATAATATCTTTCTAATGGTGTCACTTTTTTCTTCTTTTTTTTAATATTATAAGGAAAAGAGGTTTCTTTTTGCTACAAAAATATAATATATAATGATAACTGGATGCAACATTAATACATTAATTATGCATTAAATTTTTATTAGTTTAATTTACTTAAGGTGATATAAACACCATTGCATTTTTAAGATCCAGTTATTATTTTATAATATGAACATACAAAGCTCTGTTTTTTGCTTAATTTGATCTTACAGCTGCATTGATCAAAGCAAAATGACATCAAGAAATCAAGCTTTGGATTAAAAATTTGAGAAGTAATCAACTAAAAGATCTTTGTTCTGGACGTCTGAGTTGTTTCTGACTCATGTTTATCATTTTTTATAAATGAATCTGTATAATTTATTTGAATACTTTTTTAAATTGTTTTCAATACATATTGATTTTCTTTTTTTACTCCAATTAATAGCATATCTTTATTTTTAACAGACGCAATACATTGAACACAGAGAAATAGAAGGAGCTCTAGGGGTAAAAATATGCGGTAAAGATTTTGAAAAAGCTATTGCTGGTCTTCCCTTACTTGTCCCTAAACGTTCTGATGAAACCAAGGTCTTAATGGTAAGTGTAAAGATCATGGAACTTTGATTAAAGAATTTACTTGTTTTTGTGCTCTGTGAAAAATTAAACATTCCTTTTCTTTTGTTTTGATTTTTTGGGTGGGGAAGATAAATATGTTTTGAATAATAAGCTGTGCTTGAAGCTGTTGGCATATTTAATTCTATCAGATTTTTTTCTACATGCGACATCTATTCATCAACTGGAACTTAAATAATCACTTATAGAAAGAAATTTTTATATATCAACTAATAAGACATGAAAACTATTAGGATTAACAAAAAAAAAACTGAAAACTTCAATGTAGCTAAGCTGGCTAACATAGTTTTAGGCATGTGAATTGAATCTTTTATTCCACCTATAATACATACATAACATAACATGTACCCAATAAAAGTTCAGAAAGTGGGATTTTCCATCAGTTTTTTTAATTCTTTATTTTTTAATTCAAAACTGTAGTAGATATATACTGTTGTACTTAAATCAGAAAAAATATTCTTGAACGTATTTATGCGGGTGCATGGAAATGATTTAGTTAGGTGTACTGAGCTAACTCTCTTGAGTGCATTAAAAAGATAATTTGATGTTTGTGCTATAGTTTGACCATCTCAAGTGCAGCCTTGGCTGGCATTCTGCCAAAACAGATAGACTCGTCCAAAAGGGGCGTTATTATTTGCTGCGATGTGAAAGGTCATGTGAAAGTCTTCTTTTCTCTGGAAAGAGATAATTTATATGCTCAAAGGAAAGTCTGCATTCTTCCACCCTATTTTGAGAATAATTCGGCCTGAATGGCGCATGCGTTTTTGTGCTCATGGTCGTGGATGAGGAGGTCAAACAATGACCTCAAAAAGAAAAATATGTTAATTAGCAATTTTGTTTCATTAACACGTGTAAAATTTGGTTTTCTGCTGAAAGGACACAACTATGCAAAATGGTAGATGCTGTTAAATATGATATGAATTTTTTTAATACACTGCTGGCCATTAAAATTGCAACACCAGGGAGGAATAATCTGACGAACGTCAAAATCTCATGAAAGGAAGACGAGGTTGCGATATGCAAATGATTAGTATTTCAGCGCATTATTGGTGATGCAGGAGGGAGAAATGATATCTGAAGAACTGCATAAAAGAAAAGTTGTATAGTGGGTTGCGCATTCTGTAAGTGCTTTGTAACGTCAGAGTTTGCTCAGAATGTCATGTTATGCCTCGAATAAGAGGAAGAAATGCTTACCAGCAAGTGTCAGAATTCGATAGAGGCAGGATCGTTGGCTATCGAGAGTGTTGATTATCTAACTGTGATACCGCCCGTCGCACTGGTTGATAATCAACCATTGTCATGCGAATATGGAATCAGTGGGTTGCTGAGAGTCATACTGATCAACACCCTCTCATGGCTAACGCCCGTGAGATCACCTCTGCAAAACCGTATAAACACATAACAGACCATTAGTCATGAAATCACTATGATTACAACACGCCCAGTATCCGCTCACACGGGTCGTCAAAGTTTGCAGCAGTGTGGACTATCAGCATGGCGACCATTACTTCGGCTTCCTTTGATAATGCCGGCATAGAGAGAGACAGCGACTCTGGTGCACCGAAGGACAAGGTTGGATACAAGAGTGACACAATGTCATCTTTTCAGACAAGTTCCGGTTCTGCGTTCAGTATTCTAATGGCCGTATATGTGTCTGGGGGCTCCGAGGAGACTGTACGTCTCCTGCTTGTATTCGATATCAACATACGGACCCTGCACCTGGTGTGATGGATTGGGCAGCCATTGTATACACGACACGTATATCTCTAGTTCGGATCGGCAGTAATTTGAACGCAGATGGGTTCATTTCTGACATCTTACATCTAGTGCTTGTGCCGTATCTTCGAGGCCTGTCAAACGCCATCTTTTAACAAGATAATGCAAGACCACATGTCGCACGTTGTGTTCTGACCTTCCTCGATACACCGGGTAGTCGATTGCTGCCCTGGCCTGCATGGTCTCCGCATCTGTCACCCATAGAAAACGTCTTGTCATGGGTTGCTGAGAGACTGGCCTGCCATCTCTCTCCAGCTAATACGGTTGATGAAGTGTGCCATGAAATTGAAGAACTATGGAATGAATTGGTCGTTTCTGTCATCCAAGCCCAGTTCGGCTACATGCTAAGTGGATAAGGGCTATTTTAGCTGCCAGGAAGTGGTAGCTGTTTCTGCTGATTTCGAACCCCTGTAAACCCCAAAACTACTTACAGTAGTTTCTTACAAATTTAAACATTTTGTCTTCATGCCATGCTGCTTACGTACAATAAAGATCTTTTTTGTATTTGCTTTCCTTCATGATGTTGCAACTTTAATGGCCAGCAGCGTAGCTAGATCATTATGTTGTGTGCATGTGACATCAGAATTGCATTAAAAAAAAAAAAAAAAAATTTCTTTTTTCTCTCAATCCTTTTTTGAGTAGTTTTTTTTTTAAGTTATTCTGCAGTAAATCCTTCCAAAAATGAGTCATTAGAGATTGTTTTATCGTGGTGTATATGGATTTCATTTATATTTATGATAAATTTTACTACTTTCTTTTATCTTAATTTGATGGATTCTTCTCTTTAAATAAATTTCAAATGAGAAAAGTAATTTAGCTTTTGGCTTTTTTGGCTTGCTCAATTTATGCAGTTGTAATTTGAATAAAATAAACTTTTTACTTCCTTCTACGAAGTAAAAAGGAAGTATTGTAATCGCGAAAAGTCTCAGGCAGCATATTTCAACAAAAGTATCCATTTTTACCCTTTAAAACGCAATTTAACAATGTTTTTGCGTGATATCTATGCGTAAGGACAGAATAAAAGACTCTTTTCCTCCAAAAAAATTATAAAACTGCTTCAAAATGAATTCTGAAGAGAATTTTTCATGGCGTCTGTACGAAAGTATGTACAAGTTATGCGAGATACATACGTACGTATCTCGCATAACTCAAAAACGAGTAGCCTCAGAACATTGAAATTTTGTATATAGGACAACTGTAACATGTAGATGTGCAACTCGTATTTTGTTTGCAATCGGCCGCACCAAACGTATATAAATATATTTATAAATTTATCCACTCTGTTACCCATCTCAGTGATCTCAATTTCTTTACTCTTATATGTTTGTAAATTGTACATTTTTTGCTTTAAAAATGTTTGAATTATGTTGCTCTTATCTTTCGGTTAACGTTTTTATGCCTTTAGTAAATCTGTATGCAATATTTTAAGAATTATCAACAATTTAAAAGTTGTTTAAGTGCCGCTAAGCCTAATAAATTTTTTGATGGCGGCCATTGCTTGTTTGCATTTGAAACAGCAGAGTAGTGGATTTGTTGCCAATCTAGAGAAACGTAGCTTCACAACAACAAAGATAACGCCTTCATTTATTATTGCAAATTTAATCATGCTTAATCCTTTCTTGAATTTTTTCGAGGAAATAAGCATTAAAGATTTACTTAATTTTAATAATTTAGTTTTTAATAATTAGTAATTTAATTTTTAATAGTTAGTAATTTTTAATACTGATATTTTGAGTTTTTATATATTTTTGGCTTGTTGCGAAGTGAGAACTGAATTAATTAAATGAGAAATACTCAATCGTCTGTGAAAAACTTTCTTTTTTGTTTTGTTTGCTTAATTTCTTTTATACATCGTTCTAACTTTATTATAGTATTTCAATAGAACATGTGGCAACGATTAGATAATTCTTTAAATGATATAAATTTTGTGCATTCTGAGTTATAACATGAATGAAATATAATACTGTTAAGTGAACCTAGTGCCAGAGTGTCGCTATGGTAAACAAATAGAATGAATTTTAAAGAATGCATTTATTCCTTTGTGGTTTATGCGCTGTCGGCTAAGTAGATTTAATTAAATCCAATAAATTAAAACGAAATGCAAGAAAATGCGTATAATTTAATATTCCGTACAAGGAAGTCATGTGGTGTACACATCAGATTTTTTTAATAATACTCAATTCCTTTATTATATAAATTGCATCACTAGTAACGAATTTCTGAGGCTACCCACTGCAGCAGTTAACCCTCAGAATTCTCAAGCTTCTTGAATATGCTGATGAAGTTCTCAACTGCCTTTTTGTAGTAAACTGTTCTCAACTGCCTTTTTGTAGTATTTTGTATTTTTTAAAGTAATTTTAGCAGTTAACTCTCAGAATTCTCAAGCTTCTTGAATATGCTGATGAAGTTCTCAACTGCCTTTTTGTAGTAAACTGTTCTCAACTGCCTTTTTGTAGTATTTTGTATTTTTTAAAGTAATTTTAGCAGAAAAATTATGTAAGTAAAACTTTTAAAATAATTATTTAGCAGCGACTTGTTTAAATAATTGTCTCTGCATTATTGTGTTTCAGTCCGTGTAAAGAAGTATTGAATTGAAGTTATGCTTTCTGCTACTTCTAGAGAGAAATATTTTTATTCTTTAATTAAACATTATAATGTTACAGAATTAGCAGTCTTAAATACAAAATAAACATTATTAATAATAAGGGATAAGCAGTTAAGTTATGCTTTTTATACATAAAGCAATCTTTGAGTTGGTTTTCACAGTTTTTTATTAGAAATTAATTTACATTTAATACATTTAATTTCTAATAAAAAAACTGTGAAATAGAAATTAATTTTTATTAGAAATTAATTTACATATATTTATTTAATTTAAGTTAGAATGTAAAATCTAAATGCCTTTGCTTTTTAAATGCAGTGGAACCCCACTTAAAGAACATAATTCGTTCCCGAATCATATTCATTATGCTAAACACTTGTTAAGTGAAAGAATTTTTTTGATAGGAATCGCTGTAAAATAGGATGTGTTCCATTCTAAAAGACAAGACTCAAACAAATTTATAGTAATGTAATTTATTACTTATAATACATCCTTAAAAAAAGGAAAATTGCCTAAAGACATGTTTTAACCTATGCTTCAAAATTTGGCAAAAGTCAGACACATCATTATCGTTAAATAAATTTGTAGTGCACATAGCTGCTGCTTTATAAGAGTGTTGTTTCTCAAATTATGACACAACAGTTTTTGATGCTTTCAACATCTCTTATTTTACTGGAAAGTTGTTTCTTCTTCGTCCCCATCCCTGATGAAATCTCTTCCACAATATCTTGCTGGGACACAGAATGCAGCTCCATAAGCTCTTTGGTGTTCGGTTCCTGGCTATTCTTCAACCAGCTCCTCGACATCCTTGCTATCTACCTTTAGTCCCATAATCTTGGCCAAAGATGTAAATTTGTCAATAACAGACTCTATAAGCACTTGCTCAAACACTTCATTATTATGTTTGTTAAAGCTATCAGGCCAAAGCTTCTTCCATGTAGAAATAAGGGTTCTCTTGGTGTGATCCCCTCCCATGTATTGTGGATCATCTTGAAGCAGGTAACAATGTGAAAGGTGGCCTTTTCAAAACTCTCTGAAAGTAAGATTGGTTCCTTCAGTTACCTCAAAACAGTGCTCAAAGAAGGACTTTTGCGCAGAGCTTCCCGAGTATTTAAATGATCTGTTGGTCCATAAGCTGCAGTGAGTGGTATTGGGAGGCAGGAACTGGATTTTGATGAACTTAAATTTTTCAAGGTTGGTTCTGGAGGATGTGCTGAAGCATTATCCTTAACAAGCAAAGCACAGAGTGGCAATTTCATTACAAGCAGATATTTTTTTACAGATGGACCAATCACTTCATTAATCAAGTCTGTAAAAATGTGTCATCTAAGACTTTTTGGAACTCCACATGACATTTAACCTGCTCTTCTATACTTCATATACTTCTTGAAGGCTCATGGATTGTCTGAATAATAAATGAGCACCGGTTTAATTTTCAAATCGCTGCTTGATTTGTACAAAACGACGACGTTAGACAGTCTTTCACTAGTTTACATCCAACAGTGCCTTCTCCTCCACTGTAATAGTTTCAGCATCTTTTTTTCTAGAAGAAACCTATCTCATCATAATTAAAAATCTGCTGCAGCAGTTACCCTCAGAATTCTCAAGCTTCTTGAATATGCTGATGAAGTTCTGAACTGCCTTTTTGTCTGAACTTGCTGCTTCTGAGTGCCTCACACTGCTGTGGTGCTGGTGCCACAGCAATTCTTTTAAACTTTTTGATCTACCCCTAGCTTTCCCCGAATGCTTCTTCTTCATACATTGAGGATCCTGGCTTCGTCTTGATAAAGTCGGCAAAAATTAGTTTCGCCTCCCTTCAAATTATGCTTTTGCTAAAAGCGTTATCTTGCATTTATTTTTTGTTGATCCACACTAGAAGCAATCTTTCAACATCATTGAGAATACATAACCATTGTTCAAAAATACTTGTGGCACCCTTTGAAGCATCAGTCCTTAATCTTATCATTGTTTTTTAGGATAGTGCAAACTGTTAATGTAGACTGATTATATGTGTATGTTAGGTCAATCCCACTCACACCTCATTTTCACTTCTCTGTGATCTGCCATTTGAAATCTCTGCAGTTATTCTTCTCTTACCCCTGTCTTCCTACGACATTTTCTTTGGGAACAATCATGTAAGTCTGGCTAAACTTTGCACTAAAAATGTGTTGGGAGGCAAAAAGTATTGGGAGACACAATAATGTGTCTGAATACAACTTTCACAAGTGACTAAGATATTTGCTAAATGAGAAGTAAACACTGACTGATAGGTGAATGCATGCAGGATCCTGCTTATAATGTTATGATGTCTCCACATCACTTATTCTGGGAAACATTGCTCGTTAAACTAGTTTTTCTTTCTCTTTCTTTCTCTCTTTTTTTTTTTTTTTTTTTTTTTTTTTCATTTTGTTTTGCTCATTGTGGAAGGTGCTCATTAAGGGAGGTTTGACTGTATTTAACTAAACTTTGAATACCAGTTCATTTTCATATTAAAAAGTAAAGAATTTGAACTGAAGTATATTCAGAAACTTTCCTTTTCCCCCCTCATTTTACACATTATGCAGAGAGTTACCAGGTATTCGTGTTCAGCCTGAACAACTGAGAAAAGGAGTTTAGTTTTAAGTCGCTAAGAAAGAGTTTCAACTATTGCAACTATCGTAATCTGAAAATATTTTATTTTTAGAAAAGGGTCTCCTTGTAGTCTTCACCAGATTAATCCCATGAGGCTTTGTGAGTTCTGCCTTCAGAAGAATGGTTAAGTGCTGTGCAGTAATTTGGATTCATGTAATTTGTGTAAATTTGATGTACAAAGTGTGATCCCCCCCCCAAAAAAAATAGAGACTAGCTTGAAAAAAGAGTAGAGTTGGCAGCAACTGTTTTGGTGGCGTCATCACCTCCTCTATCCATGTAGCCAGTTTTGACTTAACCGATCACACCAGTTGGGAGTACTACATCATTGTACTACATCATTGAGTGAACATGTGCAACTGCATTCTGCTGGAAAAAATATCTAATGTAGAAACTGAACAGCGAATCAACAAGAAGTTTCTTGTGAAACTTCAGAAATCAGCCACAAAAACATTTCAAATATTAACTGAGGCTTATGGAGATGAAACTTTGTCTCGTGTACATGTGTTTGAATGGAATAAGCGATTTTCAGGTGGAAGGGACACATGTCAAAATCAAAATTCAAATCAATGTTATTTGTCTTCTTCGACAGTGGAATTGTAATGATCGAGTGGGTTCATCAACACTACACTGAAGTACTAAAAAGACTGGAAAAAAATTAGGGAAAATAGGAACAGTTGTGGAGTGATGGATGGCTGTTGCACCAGGACAACTATCTGTCAAGCAGTTTCTGAGCAGCAAAAACATTACTGTGATGGAGTAACCTCCTTATTCATCTGATTTGGCTCCATGTGACGTTTTTTTAATTTTAAGTTAAATCTTGCTTAAAGGGAAGCCATTTTACCTCAGTTGAAGAGGTTCAAGCAAAAACGGAGAAACTCCTGAAGGGCCTTCAAAAACCTCATTCCAGAACTGTTACCAGCAATAGCAGCCCCAAATGCAGAAGTGTGTGAATGCTGAAAAGGACTACTTTGAAGGTGATAATGTCACGGAGAACTGATTCTATAAGTACAATGATTTAATGGACCTGTCCTTTTGGGGGGAGAAGGGGGGTCACACCTCGTATTTGTTGAAGACAGTTTTCTGGCTGTATTTGTGAATCTATATCTCCATCCAAAGCATTTGATCATCATTCAGAAAAAATTGAAGTAGGTTGGGTATATAATTTTGTAGACTATACAAATAATATCATATATCAAATTTCACAAACATATGCATTTCAATGAAAAATGCAAAATGTTTAATATATAAAAAATATTATGGACTTAAGTATTTTATTTTATTTTTTACATTCTTTGTTAGGACGGGATGTGAAAAGTCACAATACTTTTGTTTATTGGTTGTAATGTAATAAAAAGGCATGTTAATTTTTTTCTGCAGTTGAAAGCGTTTTTTCCCCCTCTTTTTTCCCAGGAAGAAATAGCTGCATTGTTAAAAGATGCAATGAATTCTATTAAAGTCACTGCTGTTGGAGTGTATGTACAGACATCAACATTAGGTTCTCTGGAGGCATTGATGGAATTTTTAACAGAATCAAAAATACCAGTAAATATATCTTTCTGTCTCTCAGTTTTATATATCTTTTAAAGAGTATGCTTAGACATAACTATAACTAAAGAGCAGTTTTATAAGAGATATGTACATTTGTTCCTTATTTTTGGAGGTAGGGGATTTATATGGAGTTGATGTTCAAAGAACTTTTAAGAATATATATATATTTATCTATCTCTCACCATATCTTTATTACTTATAATCGTGAATTATATTCAACTTTGGTATATTTTCAATATGTATTTAAACTTCCAGAATATAAAACAGTTCTTGTGATAGTTATCATTCTGTAACTGATTTTGGGTGGTTTATTTTTAAACTTATTTTGTATCAATGTGCTTAATTTAGTGAAGAAATTTGGAATTTTTTAAATTATTTAATTAAACTTCCTACTGTTCATATATTTATAGAAACTTGAAAGCATTAATGAGCTTAATAAAACCTGTCAGAGGTCATTAAGAATAAGTTTTAAAATGTTGTTGAACTACTGTTAAAATTGTTAACAAAATAAGTGTAAAATGATAAATAATAAATGAATTTCAACCCATATAATAAAACATTATATGGGTTGAAAAAACTTCATACGAAATTTTTTTCAAATTATTTAATATGATGAATATATTTATTGTAATATTATTGGAAACAATATTAAAAACTTAATGCAGTTGGTATTCACTATAATAACCTGGTGTTAAATAAAAAAAAGGATGTTGTAAAGTGACTTTTCAGCCAAAAATGGATTTTAATATATTCTTTTCTGCTAGACACAGTTTTAGGAGCCCATTATAATGGAATAGTCACTATATCAAGCATTGTCTGCTCTTTAAAAAATGGCAAGAGCTGTGAATCAATAGAGTTGAATTTGAAAAATTATAATTAACAAATCGAACATTTTATTTTTGTGTTCTGTACTTTATTGAAATATTGCACATATTACATGTAATTTTCTGCAGTAAGAAAGTAAGCTATTATTATGTAATTGTATTTCATAATGTCAACAACCATTTATTCACACATAATCCTTATTATTTCCTATTATAAACAGAAGCTACTTATAGGATTATCATTTCATTCATTAATATTGCCATTTGAAATCAAATTTTTTTAAACAAGTTTCTCTTAAAATAGGAATTGGAGTACAGATAATAAGAGCAGTTGAGTCTGTAATAATACTTACTCATTATTCTTAATGTTAGTTTTTATCATAATCTAAGAACTCGGGTAATTTTAAAATGTTTAAATAGGCCAAAAATGTTAAACATGTCAAATGTAACTAACTAGTTTATGATTAAGACACAATAACACGCCGAATAAATACTAATTCAGAAGTCAAACAACAAAAATCACCGTTATATTTACCAAATTTTCACAGGACTAGTTTCGATGGTTTTACCGAACCATCCTGGCTGATATCTACATGCATTATTATGAATCAAAATTGTTTGAAACTTTAAACTTCCCGGCATGGTTCCGCTATGTAGACGATACTTTTACTCTGTTTGAAGGTAATAAAGATGATTTAAATAAAGTTCTTTCAACAATGAATTCTATTGATTGTGCTATTCAGTTCACTTTTGAACTTGAGACTTGCAATTCTCTTCCGTTTCTCGACATTCTGGTCACACGTAACACATCCAACTTCAGTACTACGGTTTACCGTAAACCTTCATCGGTTTGCCTTCCACCCACTTTAAATCATGTCATCCGACTAAACAAAAGTTAGCTTCATTTATTCCTATGTTTTCCGTGCTCTTCAAGTTTGCTCCTCCAAAACTAGCCCTTGATGAAGAACTAAATTATTTAAAAGCAATAGCTATTGACAGGGGCTTTCCACCAAACATTATTAATCAAGCAGTTAAAAAATTCTCATCTCAACACACTAAAAGGCACACTCTTGTTTTAGGAGATTATAAAAATTCTGTTGTCATTCCCTTCTTTCCATCAATTAGCTATAAAGTTGCACATATTTTGCAGAAATTTAACTTTCGGGTTGTTTATTCTCCCATCAATAAAATTCCGAGTTCCATACTCAAGGACCCCATTCCGGATATGAATTCCTGGGGTATTTATAGGATTCCTTGCCAGTGTGGTTTAATTTACATTGGCCAAACTAAGAGAGCCTTAAAATTTCGCGTCAAGGAACATGAGGCATATGTTAGAAAAAGGAAACACAGAAGTCTTCTGTTGCTCAACATTGTTGGTCCGAAAACCACACTTTCAATTTTTCTGCTGCCAAAATTATTCAAAAAACATCTTCCATTGGAGAACTGGATTTTCTAGAGGCATTTCACATTCATAAAAATCTTTCTGTTCTAGTTAACGATCCTAATTCCAATCCAAATTTGCCTTCGGCCTTTAAAGAAATTATGTTTTAGTTCTGGTTTCACCAACAGATGGTGCCACTTGCTTATTCTTGTACAGGCTTTCTTATCTTATCTAATCATTATTTCCTATCTGGTTCATTTGCGGTTTTGCAGCTGAAGATGGTGGTTCGGTAAAACCATCGAAACTAGTCCTGTGAAAATTTGGTAAATATAACGCTGATTTTTGTTGTTTGACTTCTGAATTAGTTTATGATTGCAAAATTTTGTATATTTATTTTGCTGTATTTGGTTTTTTACTTTTATGTGTCAAGTATTAAAGTATTAAAATATATTTAATAAAATTAAAAGTACCTTCTTTATCATTTATATAAAATTGTATTGTGCATTGTATCAGCATTATAGATAAACAAATCACAATCTATCAGTCCCCCCCCCCAAATTAAAAAAAAATTATAATTAAAATGCTTACTCTAATAAATAATATTTTCATTAAAAAATTTGTTTCTTATTTTTAAGACATTCAAATCTCAACTATTTTTAAGATAAAATAAAAGGTAATTCTAAAATTTTTCTGTAAGAAGCATAATAATTGGTCATTTTGAACTCATTTCAGATTTTTTACAATTGATTCAATTTCTAGAAATTCTGATCAACAATTTTCAAAGAAATCATATACACAAGCAAGAAAATTATTCTTTTGAAGAGTCTTTAATAAAATTTTTTATATATATTAATAAGTTTGTAGATATGCATAATTGTTTTTAAACAATATTGCATTCATAATCAATATAATTTTAATTTAAACAATGAAAAGTCACAAGTAAATATTTTCATGTGTTTCCAAATTTAATTCCAAAATAATGATTCTAAAAGTTCTTATGTCAGAAACACAATAATTGGCCATTTTATACAGATATAATATTTACAGAATGTCAGATGAAATCTAACATGTTAATCAAAATTTCTTGAAATTCTAGTCAGCCAGTTGAGAGAAATGCATGCATGCGAGGTAGAAAATCACATTTTTCTGAAATTAATTGAAAAATAAAATTATCTTAAAAGCTTATAAATATTTTTTAATTAATAAATATAAAGAACAGATATGCTAACAAATTAACTTTTGTGTCATATGCAATTATATATTTGTATAAAATTGAATACAGAAGTATTCTATGTACAGTTTAGCAATTTAATGAGGAGTTAGCTGAAATGTAAATGTAAACAATCCATTGGGCTCCTTCAATTGCATAAGCTTGGAACTAGTTTTTACTTTAATAAGTATAATTTTTAAATTCTGGATATTTTTCCTTGATACACACATTGATGCCTGACTGTACTTAGGTGTCTGGTGTGAGAATAGGACCAGTAACTAAGAAGGATGTCATGAAAGCATCAGCAATGCTGGAGCATGATCCTACGTGAGTATTTAATGCTTTATGTTTTCCATTACAATTCTATAATTCATTAAATTTAAATGTTGAAAAAATTTCTTTATTTCTGTCTGTTTTATTCATAGGATATTTTTCTAAATAGCATCAGCAGATTTTTATCAGGCTTGCAATTTTACCTATTTTGACCTCTAAACAACTTATTTACATTATGTAGATGACCTCATGCATTTTCATGATAACAAAGATTTAACATTGATTTGATCTATTGTGAATTACATCATTACAGCCAGAATTTTCATTATGTATAAATTAGTACATCAAAATCATCACCTTTGCATGTAACTTCATATTTATCAGCCATATCTTTGACTTACAAATCTATTTTCGTACCATCTGGTATATGGAGTAATATAAGAGAAAATTATCACTGTATCAGCCATTTTTATTTATTTATTAAAAGAATAGCTAATTTTTCTTATTTTTTGATTATATTGTCCTTATCATTTTAGTTGTCTAAAAATAAAATAGCAGATTTGTTTAGAAGACTAAATCAAATACGTCCAACAAAAGTTAACAGTAACAGAAGTTAATTTTAAAAAAAGATAACAGATTTTGTCCAGCAACAGAAATTAATTTGAAAAAACATAAAAATATTTTATGTTGATTCTCATTGCTAATTTTCATAACTTTAGAGATTAATGTCATTATTGCATTTTATAGGTACAAAATGTTTTCCAATTTAATATTTAATTTTGCAAACAAAAAACACATTAGTATTGAACCGAATTTTAAGTGTCATCACTAATCATATATATTAACATGAGACTGGTATTTAAATATAGTATGTGTAAGCACTTATTATCATTTGGCTACTATACATGAAAATCAGTTTCAGTATTTTGTAGGGCAGTTTTAATATGATTTCTTATTTATATGACTTTTGAATGATTTCATTAGTTGTTATGGATCAATGAGTAATTGTTGTGTTTAGTCTGTGTTTACTCTGTATAGTCACTATCATTTTCTATAAGTGTGTTAAAATTTGTGTAAATTTTGGAATTCCTGTCCATAAAAACCATGTGGTTTTTTACAAGTCTGAAGGTTTTAAGTCTGTTAATTTTTTACAACATTGTTTGGGCAACATGTATTTTGGCATAATCAACTGGCAAAAACCAAATATCTAGTTGTAACAAAAGTTTCTGCCAAAAAACGTTCTTAATAAAGTTTAAAAAAAAAAAAAAAAAAAAAAAGATGAAAACAGTACTTTTAGTGTGGGTAGTAATCACCACGCAAATCTATGATTTTCTGACAATGTTTTGGCAGTTTTTCAAAGCCTTCGGCCCAGAAACTTGGTGGCCACTAGTCCAAAAACAGATCTACCTCATTTCAGATTTCCTATGCAGACTGGAATATAGCACCAGCAAGATATAGTTGCAGGTGTTAGAAAAAAGGTAGAATTCCAAAGGAGTGATCCCGAGGCTGTATATTGGGTGGGGCAAATGATACTATTCGAGTCTGTACAGAGTTCAGCCAATGAATGCAGACACATATGGTCTTACTATATATATGTACTATATTAATATATACAGCTTTATATATATACTATATACAGCTACATATACTATATTACTTTATATAGAAAGAGAGATAGCTAGATTGTAGATTATTGAAACTTATGTATACTATGTATATTATAGCAAATTTATGTCATATAATTTAAGAAATTAATTATAACATTTTGTAAATTTTATGCATATTATTTACAATACTATTCTTAAACAAAGTGAATAGTTTCAAATTTATTTTCATTAAAAATAAACCAAATTAATTATTATAGTAAGATGAAAATTTAATTAATTTTAACACATCTTAAATGGGAAATGGTTAACAATATGAACACATTTTCTCTATATTGTTATTAAAGTGTAGGAGATGACCAAATTTGTTTTCTACAAAATATCAGTGGATTATTGTTATTGATGGTTTTTTTGGTGACAAAGGGCTTTCTTTTACAATAACTTGACTTTTTCACAATAAATTCCTAAAAATGGACCACTATAGAATAGAATGTGATGATGAATTGTGTACAGATAGCTTTTTGAATTATTCCTGCAAGAATGACCTTACAGATGATGATTCTAGTGACGATGAAATTATACATCCAAGGGCTTTTCTCTTAACAAGAATTTCAAACAGTTCAGACACAAGCCGGGATTTGAATGTTTCTGATTCTGAAAAAGAATGGTAATCAGTAAATAAGCTACCAGTCTTGAAAGAGGCTTGGCTGCTCAGAAATAAATACAAGAAACATTCTAGATAGTATAGCAGATACTATATCTTTATTTTTTTAGGTAATTTTTTTACATTTTTTATACAAGAGTCAAATAGATATTATTACCAAAATGTTGATAAATTCACAGCTGTCAAGAAAGCTCTGAAATGGAAGGACATTACAGTACAAGACACGAAGAAATTTGGGGAACTTTTTCTTATGGAATAAGTGCAAAAGGGCCAAAAAGAGGACTATTGGAGCATGGAAATCTGTGTATAGAAACACCTGATTTCCCCAAAATAATGACAAGAGACAGATTTTGTTAATTATGAAAGGCCTTCAGTAGCAATGAAAACTTGGATGACAGATCAGATAGGCTTTTGGAAGTCAGACCATGACTAAATTACTTTATTTGCAAATTTATAAATGTTTATAAGCCTATTCAGCAGCTGTCTGTAGAGGAAGACGTAATGCCTTAAGGGGGAGATTATTTTTTAGAGTTACAATGCTGCGAAGATTGTAAAGTATGGAATTCTCACTTGTATACTGTGCGAAAATACTACTGGCTACATATGTAATTTAGAAATATATTGTGCTCAAGGGAAGTGATTTTAGAAACAATTCAAATGCTTATATTACTTTATCCAGAGTTGTGGAATTTAGCGGCATCTACATGGATAACTGTCACAATAGTGTGGGAAACAGCCAAAAGCTGTCACAAAATAAAAGTGGAATTTGCAGCACTGTTTTTTGAAAAAAAGGGGGGAGAGGACTTCCGCATTGTTTGAAAACCATTTCATTGAAAAGAGGATGAAATGTTCTTCAGAAAAAGGGAAAAAAAGAGGTCTTTTAATATAAGTACTGCAATCAAAGAAAACAGTATCTGTAATATCTATAATACATTCATCTAAAGAGAAAGAGGAGCCTTGATTGTAACACATTCTGAATTTTTTTTCCCTTCTTTCTTTTATCCCCTCCTTTTCTGGGGGTGATTTAAACATTTGTGTATTTTGTAGGTATAACGCTGATTTTTGTTGTTTGACTTCTGAATTAGTATTTGTGTATGTTTTTTGGTATTCTAGATACTTATGAACACACCTTCTGAAAGCTTTTCTTTTTCTAGGTTGTTTAAACATTTATTGTTTCATGCATTTGTTTAACTTAATATGATGCAAATGTAAGAGTTGTTCAGTTTGGGAAAGCTGTCTCACACTCAAATCAAATTTATCTTATGGCATCAGCCACCAAAATGGCTTTATCAATGAAAATCATCATTTCATGATTGGCCTGGAAATAAACATTAATACTAATCTGCACCTGTGTTTCTACCATTTATGAAAATCAGACATAAACTTTTGTTGTCATCTAATATAGGGTTTCCCAATGATTTCAGTATTGACAGCCTTAGGGGCTTGAGAAGAGGTTATATACGAGGACCATCCAGGAAGTAGATTACGTTTCCGTCTGTGTCCGCTAGGGGCGGGGCTAGCGCGGCCATCTTGGGGTCAGAGCGTTGCGCAGCTCAGTCTGCATCTAGCCGTGCTAGTGAGAGGTTCGTGCTGTGCTCCGTTCAGATACTGTGACGGTTTGAAATGTCTGCGTTAATTGAAAATCCCGCGAGCTGCGAGGTGCGCTCAGTAATAAGGTTTCTGACTGCAAAAAACTGTAAACCGATAGAAATCTATCGGCAGCCTCGTGAAGTGTATGGGGACAACATTATCACTGAAGGTGGAGTGCGTCAGTGGGTCATAAGATTTCAAAATGGCCGAACCAATGTTCACGACGAAGATCGAAGTGGGGAGACCCAGCATAGTGACCGCCGAACTTCTCGAAAAAAGTCGATGCTAAAGTCCGTGAAAATCAAAATTTCACAATAACGGAACTTTCTTTGAGTTTCCACAAATTTCGCGAAGTTTGTTGCACGAAATCATCAGCGAAAAGCTTGGTTACCACAAGTTTTGTGCAAGATGGATTCCAAAATCTTGACAGAGGACCACAAAAATCAGCGAATGGCTGCAGCGTTGAACTTTTGGGACGCTTACCATAAGGATGGTGACTCTTTACTCGATCGCATCGTTACTGGTGACGAAACATGGGTGTGAAACATGTGAACTGTGAAACGAAATGCAATCAATGCAGTGGGGGCACACAAGTTCTCCCCAAAAACCCAAGAAATGCATGCAAACAATGTCGGCAAGGAAGATGATGGCGACTGTTTTTTGGGACAGAAAGGTGTAATTTTGGTGGACTTCCTGGAAAGAGGCACTACAATAAACTCTCAAAGGTATTGCCAAACTCTCCAAAAAACTCAGAAGAGCAATTCAAAAACAAGCGCAGAGGAATGTTGAGCTCTAAGATCTTGTTGATTCACGACAAAGCCCGGCCCCACACGGCAAATGTCACTCATAAAGTTCTTGAATCTTTTTAAGTGGGAGTTGTTTCCTCATCCGCCGTACAGTCCCGACCTGGCACCGAGCGACTTCCACCTATTCCCAGCAATGAAGAAGTGGCTGGCTATGCAGCGTTTCGATGACGACGCACAGCTGCAAGAAGAGGTAACGAAGTGGTTGAAGGCGCAGGCGGCCGAATTTTTCGACGAAGGAATTTCCAAGCTCGTACATCGCTACGATAAATGCCTTAATTTGTATGGTGACTATGTAGAAAAGTAGTATTTGAGTGTGGCTTTCATCTGTATATAATAAAATTTGTTTCCTATACTTTGTTTACTTTTTTATTCCAAAACGTAATCTACTTTCTGGATAGCCCTCGTATGATTATAGATGATTTTAAAGAGGTTTGATGCAAACCATATGAATACACTAAGTTTTGGATTTAAAAGTTATCTAAAAGAAACATACTAAAATAAAATATGTTACCAAACCAACATTGACTTTTGCTTCTTAACTATTGGAAGAAGGTTTAATTAAGTCAGTAATTTACTATGTAAAAAAGAAACAGCTTGAATGTTTTTGAATCGGTTCTAATCTAATTTTTATTATGATTATACTGTATATTATAGAGAAAAATGTAAGGGTGTCAACGAAGGTCATTCTTTTTTAAAAGATTTGGGAATCCTTGGCCTAGTCAATGAATATGAATTTATTTTTCTCAATTCTTAAGAAATTTTCTGTTGAAATTTTGTAATTTATATTTTTTATTTGTTTAGAATCTCAAGGCAGTATATAAGTAAGATATCATTTCTTTCTTTATTTTCAGATATGCTGTGATTTTAGCATTTGATGTAAAAATAGAAAAAGAAGCTCAAGAACTGGCAGAGTCTCTTAGTATTAAAATATTCCATGCTAACATTATTTATCATCTTTTTGACATGTTCACGAATTATCAAGCCGAGCTGAAAGAAAGAAACCGAAACTTATATAAAAACGAAGCAGTTTTCCCTTGTAAATTAAAAATACTTCCTCAGTTTGTTTTTAATTCACGAGATCCAATAGTTGTTGGAGTATCTATTGAGGCTGGTATCCTAAAAGAAGGAACACCATTATGCGTACCATCTAAAGAAGTAAGCATATTTTGGTTAATGTAAACTTCTTCTTTTTTTTATATGTTAGGGCTAATTATTATTTTTTATGGTTTTAAGCATTTGAAAATCTATAAACCTTTATAAATATTTTTGGTACTTTTCCGTTTTGCCGGCACAAGCGATAAAGTCGCCAATAATGGTACAACCGATGTCAAACGGAATATTCTCGCTGGTAACCTTTTTTGCCTCATTTTCAGAACAAGTTGCAGCTTTTTCTTATCAGATTGATTGTTTCTTTCAATACTGGCATATCATTACATAGAATTTTTATCAGATAGTTCAGTTTTATGTCTAAGGCAATTTTCGGTAATTAAGTTAATTAGGATGCAATCACAGCGCTTACCCGAAGCCGAATATATAGAAAAGGTAAAGTCAGGGGTTAAATTCATCAATTCTAATGAGAATGCATTAGCGAAGTAAAGTACTGCAGTTTTACATGGTTTCTGAGTAAGCTATTCGTACGAATTGAAATATTTCTTGCATTTAAACTTGTGTTCCAAATTAAGATTTAACTTGAAATTAATGTAGATAATTACTGAGAGCATTAGATTTTTGTAAAGTAGTTTACGTGAGATGAGATTGCTTGGGGTCACGTGATATGAACCAGCGAATCAGGATGTTGAACCATGAAAGCATAGTAAATTTCTTAAATAAATGTCTTTTTACAAATTTCTTGTCTTTATTTATTGGCTTTTTATAAAATTTTAAGCGATATTAAAATGTTTATGCCTTCTTTTTTAAAAAGAATTCTTAGAACTAACATTTTTTTAATATTTTTTATGTGTATACTGTATGTTGTTGCCAATAAAGTCTGCTTGGCGAGATTTGCACCGGCGAAATGGAAAAGTACCATATTTTTTAAATATCCATATAATTCTCATAATCTCTCATCTGTTTATATTAGCTTGATGTAAACAGATCCATTATATTTTATATATTGATGTTATAAAAATTAGTCATGCTTTCTAAAAAAAAAGTAATCTGAAAATTTCAATGTAGCATCCCAAAAAAAATTTTTCCTTTGAAAATTTTACAAAAAAATTCCAGTTTGAAAAAAATTCAGATTACATCCTAACAAAGAACAGTATACCATTAAAATTTACTAAAAATATTTTGATTTGATTTTTTATTTAGATTTCTCTTGAATACGTATTAAAGTTTAAAATTGTGTTATTCGGCTTTTAAGAAAAATTCAAAATAGTTTTGAAGAATATAAAATAAATATTATTGCTGCTTTATAAATAATTAAAAGCACCTTAAAGTTGCCTAGGTAACATGATGAAATATGTAGATAAATGTATAGAACTGGAGAGGTTGTCATCCCCAGCATATTCTGCAAACAGAATGTGTGTTATTAAAAATATTATAATTGCTTTAAAAAGTACTTTTTAGCACATGAAACTTAAATTCTTGAGTTAATCAAGAATTTAAGTTTCATGTACCAGACCAATGTTTTTCATTTCAATGTGCATTTCATATACTAGACCATTAAAGTTTGTAATGTATTTTTTCACACATTTTGTATCAATTCTTCCCTCCCCCCTTTTTTTAAAGCTATCTTATCTTCTGTTTTGCTGACTTTATAAAAATTTATAATGATTATTCGAACTAAATTTGTCCTCCACTCCACATTTTTTTAAATATATAATCAAATACTCTCTTCAACAATAAAAATAAAATTTATTATTTCAGTTTCTAGAAATTGGAACTGTTACTACTATTGAAGTAAATCATAAACAAATTGAAACTGCTCGTAAAGGACAAGAAGTTTGCATCAAAATAGAGCCATCAGGAGGAGAAGCACCAAAAATGTATGGACGGCATTTTGACCACACTGATCTGCTTGTTAGCAAGGTAAGATTTATTTTAAGTAAAAGTATTGAACCATTTTAGCAATTAATTCTTAGTAGTTATTGTATAATTAACATGTAATTTCACATCTCTTTATTTTATTTACTTTTAATTGTCATTTGAAATTTTGTTATAGATATCAAGACGTTCAATTGATATGTGCAAAGAACATTTTCGGGATGATCTGCTTAAGACTGACTGGCAGTTGATAGTTGAATTAAAAAAACTCTTCCAAATTTTGTGATCAAAATATTACTTAGTTATTTTAAAGTCATTTATATTTTCTGGTCTTGAGAGCACTTATAAGATAATGCAATTTGTTACTGACAATAAACTGAGCATTCTGTTTTTAATATATAATGTTAATAAAAGTGTTTAAGGAATCCTGCACTTTATATGATAATATTCTTCAGTACTTTATTTTTAAATACTTCTTTATCATTTCCTTAATATACCACAAGAATTTGATTATTATTTAAAGACAATCAGCATTTAAAGCAAAATGTATATTGTATCATAACATATAGCATAATATCTGGAACATGGAAGTTTCGATTTACTTAAAAATATTACTCAACTGGAAAGAGAAAAAAAGAAAAGAAAAAGACATCTTTCTTCTTATATTTTTATTTCTGTGACGAGAAAAGGAGGGAAAGGAAACTGTGTAAAATTAATTTTTATATGCTTTTACATTTATTTCTCATGAACAGTAAGTTTTGTTATATTTTCAAGTATTTCTTTTATATGTGTAATACAGTTTTTAATCGTAAACTCATGAAAGCTCTCTTATGTGGTTTTATTCATAAAAATAATCAAGGTTTATTTTCAAGGAATCCATCATGGTTTTTAATTTAGGCTTTAATAAAGAAAGGTAAAGATGTAATTGTTTAGAAAAGTATCAAATGAGTAATTTTTATAACTAATGCTCCTTCCAAAAAAGGTATAGCTAAGAAATGTGCTAGAATGCCAAATAAATTTTTAAAAAATTGCTTTGAATAACTTTTCTCTCTCTCTTTTTATTTGTTTGTTTTCAACTTTATGTATTTTCCTATAAATTATATTTGCTTTTAAATATATGCAGCTTAAATCATACCGTCAAGAATTCTGAATATCAAAAATTATTTTTAATATTTATCTAAAGGTAGGAGGACCACTCTGTTGCTTTGTATTATTTGTGTGTATTACATGGCTGCGATTTATTCCAATTTTGCCGGGAGATCCCCACTTATAATTTTACTCTTTGCTGAGGAAACTGTTTCCCGGCAATAAATATAGCTTATTGGATTGATGAAACTTAAGTTTTAAATATTCAGTACCCTGTCTGTAGTGATTTTAGCATAATATTTCTTATAAAATTTTAATTGATCTGAAACGTCTTAATTTACTGTAGACATTGGTTGAACTTTATATTAAGATTCAACCAGTGTTCATTCAGTTTTTGTTTTACATTTTTATATCGTACTTTTAAGTTTATTCACACAGTTGTGTGTGCATTAATTATCAGTTTTATTTGCATCATACTTGATATAAGGACTTTGATAAATAAAAGCTGTCATTACAGAGATTTCAAGATTTTCTCAGTATAAAAATGTAAGAAAATTGTAAAATGAAATTAACCAGAAACATAAAATTTTAAATATCTAAGTAAATATGCAAATATTTTACACCAGAATCATATTATAAGTACTTAAATAACCCAAGACATGCATCATAAAGTGAATTTAAATCAGTTTCAATACCTCCATGCAATGCAGAAATCTCCTGGGAATTCATGATGATGAGCATGACAACCTCCCAATTTTTCATATTTCAAGGTTGGTAACTATGACATTATTAAGAGAAATGTGAATATTACATCCAAAGAAAACTTACATGGTTATAGGCTGGATATGATGATTAAATTTTTGTACAGCATTATTTATAATTTGAGATATAAAAGAATAGTGGATTGTAGCCATACAGACAAGATAAAAGTATTTATTTTTACAATTTTGTATGCTGTTCATTGTATTGTATGAAAAACTATTTGATTGGATGAAAGATGTAAAAAAATCTTATTTGAATGGACAGGATGGATTGTAGAAGACTTCCTTCTGTAAAAAAACACCACTAAAGAAATTTAATTATGTTTATTTTTATCATAAATATTAAAGCAACTACTTATCTGAATTTTTTTTTATGTTGAGTCTCTCTCGTTTAACAAATTTAGTCAGTCAGAAGATTTCTTGCTGTTTTGTGTATTTTACTTTGTTATTTAAAATATTTTGCATTCTTATTTTCTTTAATGTTCCAGATATATTTTCCTAATGAATGAAAGGTTGTACAAACAAATGGTAAAGTAGTTAATTATACAAATCTAGCTGACAGCTGCTCTGTAAATAACTTCTCATGAGAAAATCCAAAAAGCATGATCACTCGGCTGTTCTTTAAAAAGCTGAATGAGTTATGCTTATGTTTTATCAAATATATATCACCTTTCAATTGTTAAGACAGTTGTTAACACCATGCAAGAAATACTACAACCTTTTGAAAGTAATAATTGTTTTCTCAGCTTTATTTGAATAGTTTGGAATGGGTATTAAAACTGTGAAACGGGACAGGATGTCTGCAATACAAATGGCAGGAATTGTTGAAGCATCATAATGCGTTTTATGGCTTCTTCCTTCCTGCGGTATAACATTGTAGTAATTCATTATTAATTTAAAGTCTATTTTTCAAATTCAGCATGTGTGTATACTAGCAGGAAAAATAAGGAATAACAACTATGAAAAGCTACTTTGTTATATTAAGTAAAGAGTAATGAAAGGTAGTTGGCTGGTTGTTAAAGGCCAATATTATTACATAGTCCTTCATTACACATTCATTATTATATAGTATTTCTGTAATATGTATAATCTTTGTTTTTCTGTTGCTCTTCTAATGTTTGCCTTCGTCCTGCACATCTCTGTACTGTCAGATATTGTCAGTATGCTTGAAATTGTTTAACAGTGAGTGTAACTGTATTGGCATTTGTGGTATTACCAACATCCATATTGTTAACAGTGTTTGCTTAAGTACAGGTAATGTGCAAGTTCATGATTTTGTATAATTGAAAGAAAAAGGCACAAGGATTTCATCATCACCTTTCTTTCAATGTTGCCTTCTAAATTCTGTGATTGCACATAAACACATGTATATACATACGTCTATACAGACACACAAAGAAAGTAACTACTGTCAAAAGTCGTTAATCCGGACTCGTCGGGACTTCGGGGATTCCGGATTATCGATTTTTCCGGATTTTAGATCATCAGTTTAAATCTCGTAAGATGGCATGCAGAAATTCTAAAATTAAAAAATATAAACCGTAATTTATGAAATAAAGAAGAATTATGATCTAAAGGGTTCAAAATTTACAAAAAAAAAAGCTTAATATTTATTTGTTTACTTTATTAAACATTTCTTTCAATGTAAGTTTGCTTCGTTTTATGTGATAATTTTCTTCTTAATTCTATAAACAGACATAATTTCTTGTTAAGTTACAAAGCTCCGCTGTTCAAGTCCTGTTAATTGCTGTGCGAGAATACCGACTAACTTGTCAATCGAAATTTTTCGTTTTCACTAACCTCTCTGTCACATTCTTCATGTCTTTAACCATTTTTTGCAGCAATTACTTTTTGTTGATGAAACATCGAAACATACTTTCGTTTTGTACGATCCTTTGGGAGCTCCAGAATCGGAAATTCTATTGACATAATCGAAAGTTTCAAGTTTACTTTTTAGTATTGCTCTTACAGTCTGCAAAAAAATAATAAGCCGGATCCAATTCGAAAAATTAAGGAACAACGCAATCATCACATTAACTGAAATCGATAATTAGATAATTTTAGCTTATACCGTCCGTTATACATAAAACGCGCACGCGAAAACGTATTCTGCGCTTGCGCACACTCATATGCGCAGTCGTAAAAGGTCTTACGCACACGCGTAAACGCCTATGCGCATGTGTCAACGCGGCGCATGCGCAGAAAGTTTTTAGCTTTGAGGTTCGAATTATGGATCATTCCGAATTATGGGTGTCCGAATTAACGACTTTTGACTGTATTTCCAGTTTACCTTACAGTTTTGATAAAATTGGCAGTTGGATGTTTCTTTTATTATGATGTATATTCTTTATTTATATATTATGCAGTAGTAGCTCCTTGATTCAGAATCTGTGACTGACTGCAATTCTGAAATTTCTGGAAATTAATGAATTAGATGTTTTATGTTACAAAACAAGCAGTAAGTGAAAGCAACATATTGAAATACAGATCTAGACATGCTTAATATAGTTTTCTCACTGCCATCTCAAATATGAAAACAAACAAGCATGGGCAGTTGAAACCAATGTTTCATTCCTTATGTACTGCTTTCATGGAAGGATCATTTTTATTGTTCTCTCATTTCTTAATACTGCATGATACAGATGCAGTATTTTTTCATTGCTGTATTTATTGCTTGAGGATTAGGCTGATGTATCAGAGCATTTTCCTTTCTTTGTATGTAGAGAGAGGGAGTATGCTGAAAATGTAAAATGCATTGTGGAAGGTATTATTAATTTATCAATTAAACTTTGAAATGTTTCTGTGTGTTATATAAATAGCACATTTTGTGTGGCATTTAATTATTATCCATGAGTTCATGCTACTGTGGTAAGTCTAGGAACATGCAAGTATTAACTACAACAATGAAAGCACTACTTTAAAGATATTTATATATGAATTAGTCAAGAAAATTAATTGTGCAAAATAGAATTTTTTTATTATATGCATGTAAGTTTGGTTTGGTTTATATGATTACGGAAAAGGCAAACTACCAAACTGCAAAGTTAAGTCAAACTAGCAGTATTCAGCAGTCTTAACCACTGGACCACTTGCAGCAAGTTACTAATTGAAGAAATGTTAGTAACAGATTTAATTGTTAAATCCACACCACAAGTAAAGAGTGGAATTTTTTTTAATGTCTCAAAATTTTGTAATGTATTATTTGCACTTAAAATAATCACGACTTTTTATTTTAGGAATGGTTGTTACGTTAAATGTAAGAAACTTTTCAAAACATATCAGGTTTTCTTAATGCTCTTGCTTTCACTTAAAATAATCAGTATTTTCATTTAATATGTGTTTTTATTAACATAACACATGGACAATAATAAAGCATGTTCTTTTTCACAACATACCTTGCAATCAATCCCTTATGCGCGTGTAATTTCCTGCAAAATTGACCTTAAAGATTTTTTAATTTTATTTTAAAGTTATAAACACTTCTAAATAAATTTTATAGGATCCTGGCAAACTTACCCTTTTCTCAGGTTAGTATGCTTTTTCTCCACAAGTTTTCAAATCATAGGACTTCTACATTTAAATTTAACATAGGTACTTCCTAATCAACAAATTAAATGTAAAAGAGATGTTAACCTAACAAGCATTACTTTTAATATATAAATTTAAAATATTTGATTGTATGTTAAGATGAAATCAACAAGTATATGATTCGACTGTAGAAATATATTTATTTTCTGATTAAAGATCTAAAAATGCTATGAAAACACTGGAATTTTTTAATTATTATTCATTTTGTGCAAGTCTGATAGTTAGATTATTTGTAATTTATTCAGTGTGGGTAATTTATTTAAATTTTTTTCATGTTAATGTCTGCAAAATACTTAATCTTCTAATATCTCTTGGGAAAAGAAATTAGGTCCATATCACACGGTGTTTGTTTCGCACGAACAACTGTTTCGGACAATTTTTCTGCCCGTTTTACTATTGAAAGAAGAACGTGCGACTTTTTCCTTCCTTTCCAAAAAAATTGCAAGTGTTCGATTTCAACCAATCAGCTATCAGCTTATTTGTAATTGGAAACGAGTTTCCCCTGTGTTAACCCCAAAGCGATCTAAGGTGACTGGCTGTTGTAACAAAGCAGAAAAATTGTTCCATCCATACAGTTGTTCTTCCGAAACAAGCCGACATGTGATAGCAGCCTAATAAATCTGAAAATTGCTTTCAAATCAAACAAATGACTTGAGTCAGGCAGAAATTGGGTTTATTGTATAATCAATTTTATTCTCTTCTACCAATTAAATAAAAGAGATTGTTCTTAAGGATAAAATATTTACAAATATATATTTTGAAGTTAAATATTGAAAATATATTTTTTGAAGTTAGCAAAAAGAAGAAATGAGTTTTAGAGATTTTGTTGTTAAATAAAAATGCATATACATCATAAATTTATTTCACTTTTTTTTTAAAAACCCCAACATATTTTGTATCTTTCTTAATGACATAATTTCAGAGGTATTTAGAAATTTGTCTATAGCATAAAATAGTAAGCAACAATAAAAGTTGCATTTTATCATTCAATTTGCCAGTATCTCTTCCCATATCTGATTGTCATTTCTTCTTCATAAGATCCGAAGTTCCACAGTCAGGTTCTTTCTTGCAGCAGCTGATGCAATCCTTAATTCGAACACCAAATCCTTTTTCTATACAATCTACCATGCAGTCATTTGCACAGCTCCTTTGAAGCATAACAAAAACACCTCCAACTCTTGTAATGACTGCCTAATAAAAATAATGATGATAATAATTAATTAATTAAACAATGCAGTATTTTAAAAAAAAAGAAGAAGAATTCGACATTTACAATGCGATTAGCAGATTTGCAACATTTTTATTGCTAACTCTAAGGATTGCAATAAAAATATTATTAAAGACCACTTCGAATAGAACATTAGCTGGAAGATGTCATCTGTAGTTATTTTCACTTGCTGTGTCTTGCATAGTCCAAGGATCCAAAACTTCATGCACTAGTGAAGGTACCACGATAATTTTTATGTATAACAAAGAATGTTTTATCTAAGCCAGATAATACTAGCAATTCACTGATGCAAGAGAAATGTCTGAAATGATGAGTCTTGTTCCATCTGGCACTATAGAGCTGCTTACTGGTATGTGTTTTAAAAAGCATAAAATTTTCATCTAAAGGTACTTTTCCAGTAGTACATAAAGTTTGTTCATTGTCCTTTCTCAAAAGTTGTGGAATGCTAAACAGTTTTGTTCTCTAACGTTTTCCATCTACACCTTCAGAAGCTATTTTGAAACTTTAGCAAGATGGTACATTTTAGCCATCAAGTTTGTACAATAGAA